CATGGGTTCCGCATAAATTCTGCAAATGATGAAATACCTGTTAAAGAAAGCCTGCTATTTTCAGGTTCTTCCATTCTAGTTACCCTGGCATTGTGATGGGGCCTTTTGTAAGAGTACAGTCAAACAGTGCAAGTTCACGTGCAGGTTTCTAAAGAACAAACCCAACATCAGGATTTGGGCTTATGCTGTTTCTGTTATTTGTTAATTTAGAAGGAATTAAGAATATTTAATTGACTTCCATGGAAACTAATTTAACAGAGCTCAGGCTGAGCGTGTTTTAGAATCATAAAGAAATGCTGAAAAGAACAGAGAATCCACATCATTTTTCTCCATTCAAACTAAACATAAATTAAACTACTGATTTACACAAGAGATGACTCAAATTATCCAATAGAAGCAGCATTTTTTACCCTTTATTCCCATAGAGTTCTCCCAAAGCTTTTGCTTTAGAAAAAAAAAAAAAAGAAAGAAAGAAAGCTAAGTAAAAGGTTCTTTATTTGAAGGTAAGGAATAAGAAATTCAAGAGGGATTTATGTGCGACTTTCCTCTTGGGAGGAAAAGTAAAGAACCCATTTGCTGGGTAGCTTTTTGTATTTCCGTCCCTCTTTCCTACTATGTCCCTCTTTGCCAGGGAACCAAAGAATTCTCTTCAATCTGTGCAAGTCACAGGTAGACAGTTATCCTGAAATAATCTGGATGCTGCTCTCCAGGACGATCTATAGTTAGGCAGGCTGTTCTTTTTACAAGGGAAATTTACAGAAGCAGCCACTCAGACACTTGTGGAAGCTGAGTAGTTTACTTTGAGGCACCATCAGAGATATAGCACTGTAGTAGGCAAAAGGTCAGTACATTTTTTATTTGTTGTGAATTACAAATTACGTCTCTTCTTGATCTTGCACTGTCTTGGATCTTTCACAACCAGTTTACTTTTGTGTTGCTTAGTCATATATAATGAATGAACTAGGATGTACAATCCTTACACAAAGAGATGAGAAAGCTTTTCTGACTTTGGATCAACAGAATCCCAAAAGCCAACACCTCAAAGAATTCATAAAAGTACCAAACACTTTAGATATTTTCTTTGATGTGCCTTTTAAAACATACTTTGATGTTTCCTTACTATAGGAATTTCTACCTTTTGTAGTTCATCATGTAGTATTGTTTTAGCTAAATAAGTAATTGTCATGGAGACAACCAAACCTCCTGTGCTGATAAACATTGACATATCACCAAGCAGATGAAGAAACATCTTTGTATTTGCACGCATCTAACAGAAGATGATAGCCAGTAAAATTGACCCCTAAAACACTGAACTTTCAGAAACTGTAAACAGATACTGTACTGTGATAAATGAGATGGCCTAAATGGTGATACTATCACTTATCGTTACCAGATTGGATGTCCTTGTAACTTTTTATCTATTTTTTTATCACTCACTTTCTTATCTATCTCAATGTTTATTTACTTAACATATTACTTTCACCCCTCTGTCTTCTCTGCCCCCTCAACTTCTTCCTCTCTTAATTGCCAATGAAAGCTCTTTTCCATTCCTCAGCTTCTCTCTGCATCATTTTATTTTATACTCACTGCTTTATCATAGTTTCTACATCATCAATCATATAATTTTTATAACTTCTGATCTGTGAGAGGAAATAGAAACTTGTTCTATTCTTAAAACATCTAGATCAGTCTGTGCAGCTGTTTAGGGTCTTGCTCAAGCAGTGAGAAGTGTTCACTCCCTCAATCTGGAGTGAACAGAAGCTTTCAGTCTCCCATTCAGAAAAAAAAATAGGCAATATGCTGTGGAAGCTTGTGTTTATCAAGGTCATGTAAAGGTATGAAGTAAAAGAAGTGGTGCCATACATGGCAAAACTCTGTTGCTGTCTCACAGGTATGTAGTAAAACTGCAAACATATTTGCACAGAAGTAATAGATGAAAAAGAAGGTAACCAAGAGCAAAGTCATTTAGGTTTCCACTATCCTGGAGGAAAAATGAAGCAGATCCTTTAAAGGAAACACTGAAGAATCACTTAAAAAGTTAGGAGGGGAATGACTGAACAACAGAGTAACATAAACCAATCCAGGACAAGACTTCAAAAGAGGGATTTAATTGTTTTGTAGTACTACAGATTATAAAGATGGTCTTATTCCTAAGTCTGGCAAAGAAGAGAAGACCTCAAAAAAGAATTTAAAAGCTGGGAAGAGAAACTCCAGGTACCAAAAGCATCTGAGCCTTCAGTGTGCTCAAACTGGAAAAAACATGACTGTAGGTGGTCCCTTATATATTCTACGGCTGTAACTGTGCGTGCTACGTGTAACAGTGTGCACAAATGATGCATATCTTTTCTTCTTTATACATTTCAAAAAGCCAGTGACGTGCTATTTCTGTCCAATAACATTGCTGATTATCTTAAAAACTAAATAGCATGGAAGTAAGGACTAAAAATATTCCAGCAGCCAAATGCTGTTTTGATTGTACTGAGAAAAAAAATTTGACACAATAAAAACAAAAAGTGAGAGGGAGAGATATGAAAGATGTCTAATCTACAAAATGAAAACATAAATGAAGTAAAACATACTGACAAGTGAGGTGAAAAACTGAAGATGTTCCAGCAGAAAAGTTCTTGTAGAAAACCTCACCATTTCTGGCTACTTCTGCTATGATGTTAGCTACTTTTGCTGTGCAGGAAGACTGTGGCATCAACAGACTCGCGAACACCTGAAGAACTCCACTTTTCTGGATTTTTTCACTTGTCTCCGTATCTGAAAAACATCACACAAAAATGACTTAAGCATCAGCTTGCTTGGAGAAGGAAAAGGAAGAAAAAGAATGTAAATCTTCTCAAATGTAATTCTCAACGTTATTGCTTTCCAATATACAAGCAGACATATTTCAGTGATCATGTTTGCTTTGCATGATGCATTCATGGAACTTTATACTTTGCCATTCAGAATCAATCCTTATGGGTGACTGCTTATAAGTAAATATACAAACATACTCATGCATGCACTGAGCCACGACTGGAGAGAGGGAGAAAGATTAAAGGCCATGGAGTGATATGATCTGCAGCAGCCTGAAATACTGTGTAAAAATCAAGAAATGGTGCTCTGAAATGTATAATTATGGAAAACATTCAAAGAATGATGGGGATATCCCAACATCTGAGGGCTCAGTGTAATGCAGAAATCAGAAACTGGAGGAGAGCTAAGCAGATCCTAGTGTAGACCTCATTTATACTCAATATGTGTATCTTCTGTATTACTTTGCTAGGCTATGGTAGCTCCAACACAGTCCCAGTAGAAGGGAAAAGGAAAAATAACACTCAGATTGCAGATTTCAGAACAAATCATTTCCTCTTTCTGCCTGTTTTACAGAAGGAATTGTGCAGTTGCTCCATAGTAAAGGCCCCACATACCATTACTAGCCTGCAGCTCTGTACAAATTGTAAATGAACTTTGATTCACTGCAGTTAAAGATCAGGTACTGGATACTAAAACCTATCTTGCAAATGCTTTCAAATAGTTTGCAGTTTTGAGTTAAGTATTAGTGTGATAGATTATTAGATGGCAGCTACCGCTTCAGAATGCAGCATAGAAGCCCAGGAAGTCATCTGGAGTAGCAATGTGCAATCATTTCTTAGCTGTGCTTCACCTGCAAATAGTTAACAGCACGTCATTGGGCTCACCATCTCTTCTGTCCTCCTCTTCCCTCCTCTTTCCTCCTATTCCTATTCTTAGTGTTGCCATTGCCTTTTGGCCTCCAAGACAACCCACTTTAAGCGCAGGAGAGCTGCATTGGGTTCACCCTGCAGAGAATATGAATTAGAGGGGGAGAATTCAAGTCTGGCTTGCAATTCTGCCTGAGCTCTGTATTTGTTGTATTTGTTCTCTTGCGATGTTGGTCTCTGACTAGGACCACCCACTACAATATGGTGACATCTGATCACCAACAGATTAGGTAAAAACCAAAGATTGATTAATGTCAACATACACATAATGTACTAGTTGTTACTGATCTATTTGCAATCTAGTTAACTGATTTTTTAACATGTATTGAGAACTCCTCTCAGAAGATCCCCTGTAAAACAACTTCCAACTGATATGGAAACTTTTTCAAGTTCTGACATTAGCATACGCATTGTTAGCTGTGTTCTCCCATGGATATGTATGAATGAAATGAAAGTTTGAATTCAGAGAAATCGTGTCAAGATTACAGACTGTTCCAGACACAGTCTATTAAAGGAGAGATGACTCTCCCTTGAGTTCAAAATTGAAAGGACAAAAATGTAGGTATCTGTGAGCCCAATGTGATTTTAACCACAGTTAGTGGGCAGGAGACATTAATGCATTTTTCTCTACTGTGCTGCTGAGACATACAATCTTATTTTATGAGCTGTAGTTTGATGGACTTATTACTGCCAAAAAATAAATTACACAACTGGAACAAAATATTTCTTGCAAGAAATGGGAAAATAAAACAAAGTGCTTCTCCAGGCCAGGTGTGTGTAGCAGATAGGCTCTGATTTATTTTATTCTCATAAGTAAGTGTGTATCAATAAAAACACGGTGCATAATAGACCTGTTGTAAATTGAGATATCAGCTACCTGGTATCCCATAGATGAAAACAGGACATTCACTTCCATTTTGTGTGTTTGTTTGTTTGTTTCTTTTTTTTTTTTTTTTTAAGATCTTGAGCAGTACAGGAGCCACACCTGTATACACTTCCTCCTTCAGAAAACCAACATCCCATTGGTTCTGGCTGAGCACCAATGTCAAAACTTTGCTTGTTACAATGTGCTGAAATACACTGATTCATTTCTTAAGATATACAATTAAAAGACAATTTAGGTATAGAAACTCAGCTTTTTTTTGGAGGGCTTTTGAAACTCTTACAGAAGGAAGGGTATTTTAATTGCAACAACTTGGCTTATATATAAACTTTAAGTTGCTTTGTTATATCTAGCTATTTTGCTCAATATTCTTTGTATTTTTCTTAAAGAAGGAGGACTTAACGACAAGCAAACGATACATGGACATGCTCTGTGGAAAGCAGGACATCCAAATGAAGATCTTCAGCAATTATTTCACTTGACTGAAGAGTCTCCTGAACATTCGCTTTCCAGGTACTAACAGTTCAAACATGTCTGTAGAAAAAAAATAACAAATTGGAGGTTTTAAAACAGGGATTTGGCAAGAATTGGAAATTGGTACCCCTGAATTCTTCCCTTTACTCTCTTCATGGACTGGAAAAGGTTTGCTTTCTTGTTTCTCTGTGTATGCAAGAAAGAAGTAATATTTGCAAAAGATGCGCATCTGCTGCATGCTAGCTTCATTCTGGGCTTCCTAGTAAATAATTTGAGGCTATATTATTTTGGAATCTTATTTCAGGTGTCATCTTTTGAATTGTTTCAATGTATTGTCAATTGTAGCTGAGACATGTAAAAACAAACGTTTCTGCAGGAGCAAGTGAGATCTAGACAAAACCTCTGTGATGTAATCTCCTTTTATGCTTTCTGTAATGGTGAAAAAGGGAAGTATAGCCAGCATTAATGATGTATTAACAAGCTGCCATTTTAACTCCTTCAGCAGAACTACACTTCCTCACAAATTTGTTCAATTTCTGTGCTAAGAAAACCTGACAACCTAGGCTGCCTGATATTAGGGTGCTGTACCTCAAAAAATCCTTTTGTTATAAATATACATCCAGATTACATCTGCTTTCCTTTAAAGCCTGATTTTCAACTTGCAAGCACAAGCCACCCACAGAGTACCTACTGCTCTTATCTTGAAGGAAAGGAACTGTAGGGCTGTGATAATGCTACTTTAGAAACAGTCCTTTTGCACACAATACAGTATAATGCTGTGCCATGGCAAGCATAATTGGGGGAAAAAACCCTAAGGTCAAACCTGCAGCTTTGGATGTCTCTTCCTATCACTAGATATCAAGATGAAGAATATGTTAGATCACACAGTGCCAAAATCTTATTAATGTCATAATAGTGTGATTAAAATGTCAATATCTTTGCTTTTCATGGTTTTTGCAGTGCCTGCAGTCAGAATAATAAAGGGTGTGAGCAGGAAATTCTTTAATGTCGTGGATCAGAACGGGAGAGCTGAGCACCAGGGCTATCAGAGTGCTTAATTAAGTAGCAGAAATCGTTACAGGAAAAGATCCAATTAGATTGTATGCTCTCCTCTCTTGGCTCTATTTCCTGTTAAGTTTTACTCCTCTCTGTATCACTCTTTTCTCATCTCTGCATCATTTTCCACATCTTCAAGTGAAAGAAAAGGCAGGGAGCAGGAAGGAAAAGGTTTATCTGTCACAAATACTGCTACTTTGCACTCACAGGCAGCAGAAAAATATTGGTGCACAGTTCGTTTGAACAATGAATTTAAATTGTACTACTACATGGTTTTTTTCGGTGCATACAACTTCTCATTCCAGCAGAAAAAGAGTATGAAATAATATAAGTGAGGGCTATCACTGCAGCAATGCCTGCGTTGTAGAGCTTTACATGAGAGAAGAACCGTAAATGAGCAGCTCCATTAGTGTCCTCTTTATTAAGCCAACCGTGTTTGCAGAGTACTTTTTGGAAAAATGTACGTATTTCTAGCTGAAGAGATGTTTTATAAACCTCCAGAAACCACTGTAGGAAGTTACCATGGCTTTATAATGTCCCTCTCACATGTGCTCTCATCAGAAAGAGGAGGATGAGCATATGAATAAATAATAATGAACCACATATATAACAGGAGAGGAACCTTTCATCGGCTCACTCACATAGCAGAATGGAAGGAGCAAGAGATGTATTCCTAACTGGTACATCCTCTGTCCACCACAGTAGAAAGAAAAAAGAAAAAAGGTTCACGTGACCAAGAGCTCACATGGTATTCTGCCTTCCTGTCCCTCTGTAGCCCTCCTGCTGTTTTTTTCCATACCACAAAATGGAGATTTTGGTCTGACTAAATGAACGCAAAAAGAGCCTCTGGAAAACAAATGATGTGATCTTCTGCAACAAGGATCTGCATCACAGAGGAAGGAGCCAAAAAGACCACTCCAATAATTATTTCTTTTTAAAAAATGAATATATACAATTAATACTATATAAAAAGAAAGAATATATACAATTAAACGCATAAATATATCTTCTGTTGGCAGCTCCTCCCCATAAATATAATCTGCTTGCTCACACATCCTTCAAATTAAAGCCCTAAGAGGGAGGGAGGATTCTCCCTCAGCTTTGTGAACACTTTCATTATGGAGTTTGCTCTGTTCTGTCTACGGCAGCAGCAATAGGGCAACTTCAGCTCTTATTTTTAATGAAGAGAAGGAGATAGTGCACAGATGTTGGTAATTAAAATCTCAGCTCTAACAAGGAAGGAAGGACAGATGGAGAGACCAATTCACCAACCAGCTAGCTGCATGATTCCTGCTGATTAAATTCTCCAGGAGCAGTATCCAAAGAAAAAAAAAACGAATTGTAGGATGAGACCCATGCCTTGAACAGCCTGTTGCAGGTACCAATGAAGTGAGTTAATAAACATACACACCAGCTTTGCCTCCCATGAAGAAATATGCACATTAAAACTTCCATGGGTGCTTTGCAGCACAAGGCAGCATATTAAAATTAAGCAGCTAGGATTCTCTTATCCTGAACTGTATCTAGTTTAGCACCCAGATATGTGGTTTGGTGGATTTATTTGAGCTCTTAATTCTCCCTGTCCACCTTTCTGCAGGAAGTAACCACTTTAGTAGCCCAGTTGTTTAAATAGTTTGATAATTAGTGCCTTAGTTACCTTCTTCATTGCCTGGCATCTTAGCACAAATGTCATCCGTGAGCGATTCTATGATTCGTACTCAGTCTGTGTGGACATTTTAATCTGCCTCCTCCACTACTTGTACAAACTGGGTTCAATACAAGACCTTGGGTAAAACCTTAAGCACCCCCTCATGCTTTAGTTTTTCAGTCTGTACAACAAAAATACAAGGCCCATAGTGTAAAATCCTTTTTCCACATTTAGTTAAGTTCAGAAATGAAATGAGATTTAAAAGCTGTCTATTATACATGCAGGAAATGTTTCATATTCCTTTAAAGCAATCTCTTAAGAGTGCTCTCAAACAAGATCAAATGCCTACTGAAAAATTATCCCCAGTGCTTACTGGGCAACTGCCTACAAACAAAGGTTTTTTTCTTAGCCACTGATGTTTCAAAAAAGTTTTGTTGCCAAAGCAGCATAAGGAAAAGCTTAATCTAAAAAGAAATCGTATTTGTAAGTCATAAGGGACAGAGCTGCCAAAGCTAAGAATGAAAAAAAAAAAAAACAAAAACAAAAACAGAAGAGGCCTTTTCCATTGCTTCTGCACTGCACTTCAAAAATCTAACCTAAAAAAAATATTTTTATATTCTATTACCTGAAACTACTGTTCACTGAAGTCTTCTGAGAAGAAAAAATATTTAACACTTAATCTTTATTTGGCACACTGTATATACAATGAATAGCCCTTGGAATTTAACACTTGGATAAACATCATTTAACCATGTGGCACTAACAATACACATCACTATTAAGGGGAATTTATGTAAAATATAACCCTACTAAGCAACAGTGATTACCATTCAGTATCATTAAGCTAGGCCAGTTTACTGGGAGACAGTCCAATAAAAAGCAGTTGCTTTGATTTAGTATGTTGAAATTAAATATGTATACTGTAATATTGTATAATACACAGCATTTGTGTTGAAACATTTCTGCATTGTGTTATACGGTGCCTTGAAAACACAGTTTCATGAGCTAAGATGCAACAAGCATCTGCAGCAAGAAGAAGGAACAATTTATAACACAGTATTTGAGACAAAACTCCCTTACAAAACATCCATCAGGATTCCCAGTTTTCAGAAAAGCATTTGACTGTAAGTCTTATTAGCTAAACTTATTGGACTTCAATGAGCTTAACTGGCTGAGCTGGCCCAATAAGATTTGAACTTCTGGCTCTGCTACACGAGATCATCTGTATCCAAGGCTGACTAGAAATTCTAGCTTGTCTGAATATGTAAGTCTAAGATGTGGTCATTTCAGTTTGGCAGTTTCCCTACTAACAAACCCCTACTGCTGAAGCAGCTGTTCTGCCAAAAGCTAGAAAAACAAGTAAGGTGTTTTTGCTGGGTAATGTTACTTTCAGAGGGATGTGATGTAAGGTAGTGTAGCAAAGGAATATTTTAGCCAATAGAAACAGCATCTGTTCTAAGACAGTCTTCATCTTTTCCAAGCCTTCTCTAGCAGAATATAAAGCCTTCCTCAGAGTTTTATGTACCATCTTCATTTTCTCATCAAAACTCACTCTATGAAAATGCTCCTGTCAAATTTCTTCCCCTGTAATTCGCTACCACCTAGACTTAATATCTCTGTAAACACACAACTGATTTTTATGCTTACCAATCAAAATATCCTTTGTCATGAGAAATACTCCTAATTATGCTAAATGATATCTTATTTCCTGCAAATTGGATGTTAAATGTAATTCAACTATAAATGCTGAATGCTTATGTTATGCTTTTTGCTTTACTTTTTATTGCATTATATTCCCCGTCACGGAGACCAGGTTTATATGATGCTCAGCAAAGACAGTGTGCTAAGAAATAAACTTTGAAGAAAGAATACTTTTCTTGACAGCTGCTGTCATATAAGAATCGAGACTGATGGTGCTGCAAAACAAAGCAATTGAAAAAGGAGCGGCTTTATATCCAAATGTTTGAAGTACTCTGTCATCCACAAGGGCTGCTCTGAAAGTAATGCCTCCTATATTATTGTCCCATAGCAGATGAATGGTGGTATGGCAGCAGAGGCTGAACCTTCCCAACCAATTCCATTACATTCTGTTGCCTTTTAACAGGTGGAGCACTCTGACTTAATGGCATCTGACATGGGAGTGCGTATGAATGCAAATGTGTGTCACTGAATTCCTCCATATGGAAAAAATGGCACCCAGTGACATTCACTGACACTTGCTGAACACTTATGGAGACCAAAGAGTGGATGTGAGCACAGTGAGGCAGTGGGTGGTGTGTTTCAGCAGCAGTGAAAGTGCCATGAAAGACAAGCTATGTTCTGGACAGCCATGCACAACAATCATACCATGAAATGAAGAGTGTCTCGATCAGCTCATCCTCATAAATTGGCTAACAGTGGTGACTATGGTGAAAAAAGAAAAAATAAGAAAAAAAAAAAAAAAAAAAAAAAGCATGTTGTGGCTGAGAATTTGCTCTATAAAATAGTGTTATTGTGCTCTTTGTAGCTGTTGCAGTTTTCATGGAAATAAAATGGAGGCATTACTTTTGGAGCAACTTATGCACATAACTTTTTACAAGTTATAACTCAGGCTCAATGGGACTAACAGTACATAGGAGTTTGTCAATTTGTCCTTAAAGGTAAGAATATTGGCAAATGCTGGCAGTGTCACAACCTTTCTTTCTATTTCTTGAACTAATTTTACTCTGTTCTCAACTTTCATGCAGCAGTAACTGAGTGAAATCAGTAGAAATTCTGAGTGTGAGCAGCTGCTGCAGAAGGCAGTGGGAATTATGGAGATTCAGCATCCATCGCCACTCAGGTACCTGCATTTAATTTGATGACTTTCTTTCAAAAATTTTAACTTTACATCTGTCCTGCCCTTCCTTCATTTCTTTCCTTCCTTTAAAAACATGCACTGCTTTTATTCCTTGCTACTCCTCTACTTAGTCTCATATTTTTCCATTTCTACTCCCCCTCCCTCTCTTGGTTTGAGTAGACAGATTCAATTAATTATCTCTGCATCACCGAATCCAAAGACGCTGGGTCAAGACTTAGCAGCTGCCAAACAAATACCACTTCATGTCTCCAATATGCACAGAAAATGTGCTGTTCAAGGTGCTACAGGTAGCTCAGTGCTACAGGGCAAATACTTCTAATGTTGGCCTTGATTCTGCTACTTATTAATAAGCCAACAATTAACTGGTATCATTGTTTGCTCACTCATTTTGTGTTCTCCCGCCATTGTTGCCTGCTGGCTTGTGTTCTTGCAGCTTACTTGTTAGTAATGAGGATTAAATTGGTCAGTGCTCTTACGTGAAATAACAGTATCCAAAAGTTAATCCTATACTTGAGTGTCAAAATAGTGCCTATAGGTGGTTACTGTTTTATTTTAGGTTCTAATGCTGTGCAGAGGTTCACACTGTTACTTGATAACAATCCACATGAAATGACACATCTCATCTTACTCTCACTCTGCTCAAATCTGACTGCAAAACTGGAGAAGTTTATGGCCAAGTTTGCTTGAGCAAGCTGTGAAATGCTCAGGTTTTCCTCTATACTTCAGGAAGGGAAATGAGTTAGCTTAAAATGCCTCCACAATGGGAATGAATGAAATTTATATGTAATTCTTATTTCTTAGAATAACTCTGCTAGGATAGAACATTCTACAAATTATTCTTTTCTGTGTTTGGGTGGGAGAGTAGCCAAGCTTTTACTTTCCTGGGAACAAAACGTGAAATGACCCCTGCTTAAACACTAAACAGGCACAGAACTTTTCTAAAACCACATGGCAGTTTGATGTGCTAAAAGTTCAGTTTATAGGTGCTTGTCTGACTTGGTGAAGAATGAAATAAGAGCACGTATGTTGAACTGCCCAAAATGTACAAAAAGGAAATAGAAAATATAGGTAAATTTTTTAAAAAGTAGCTTTTCCCTTGAATCAAAGGCATTAGTGGTGACATTTGAAATATTTCAGAGAAGTGTATCTTTTTAGTATAAGTATGAATTTAGCAATTACAAAAAATTATCTCTGAATTCTCTGTGATTTTGCCGCTTGAGTACAGGGATTGTTTTGTCTTCTATGGCCAGTGAAGATCAGAAAAAGTAATGTCAATTATAGGAAGAGTGTAAGTGCTAACTAACTCAACACCATATGAAAGCCAGTTAAAAAGAACAGAGCATAGTGAAGAATTTCCAACTCAGATATAACCTCTGTGTTAACATATGGTTGTGAGAACTGGAAATCCACCAAGACATAAAAAATGGGAAAGTAGATGCCTTTGGAAGCAAATGCCTACCGGAGATTTGGGACATAGGACAGCAAGTCTCATCTCCGAGGAAGGAATGTGAGAAATCAGCAATCTCTGCTGAAATCCAACATTTTCTTCAGCAGATGCTAACACATCCTCCTCTGTGATGCCATCAAATAGGAACCACGAGGTTTTAGAAAACCTACTGCTGACTTGCATGAGAAAACCTGAACAGAAGGTTTAGGTAGGAGGGCTAAGCTCATGATCTTGACACCAGAAAGCTGAAACAGCAGGAAGTGATGGAAGAGTTCTACTAGCAGTTGCTTGGAAAGTTTATAATGTATTTTCTCTGATGCAACATAGAGAATGTATCCAAATCAAAACAGGGCAGTATGTAGCCAAAATATGTTTTTGAGGGAAAAAAAAAAAAAGTACAAAGTAATTATACTCATTATGGGAGGAAAAGTGTCACGGCAAAGGAGTTGTGCAAGAAATGTTGAAATTAAAAATTTCATGAGTAATTTGACAGCTTCTTGACTTATCAGGGATTAGCACAGTTCCTCAAATAGAAAACTGCATATCTTAGCCAATCACATCTCAAGGGGAAGTGTGTTGCTTTAAACCTTTCTCATTGCACCGTAACTTCTTCCAAAAACGAGGGCCTTCCCTTCTCATTTAAGCTTATCTCTATTGGTGTAATTCTGCTTTAGCATTTTTACATAGAAATGTGTGAACTCATAGGCTTAGATTCCAAAAAATGAAGTGTAAAAAATATTTGGAAATCTGTGTGCTTGCCTTTCTGCTTCAGTCACATGCCAGACACTTTTCGGAGCTAGGTGTTGAAGGCTGGGATTAGTGGGCATTTTCAGCCTCTTACACTGAGTGTATCAGAGCCAAAAATAACGTTCTCAGCAGATTTGGAGATTCCTCATCTGTCAAATCTGGGTTATGTATGTCTGCTCTAACCTCTTGTATCTGAAATGCAGCATGTCTGGACTAGCAACAACATTTTCTTTTTTCTTCTTTTCTTTTTTTTCTTTTCTTTTTGTTATTACTGCAGTAATTGTCCCAGAAGCTTTCAAAGAAAACCTATATTTCTTTCTCATTTTCTTTTTCTCATGCAGTCCTTTTTTTGTAGACCTCTATTTGAGGATCTCAGGATAACTATTTTTTTGATAGATGCCGTATTTATGAGATAGAGCTTAGTGAGTATACATCACTACACAGTGATATGCAGTGAAGGATATTGCCTTCTTTTGTATTTTCTTTACAATTAACCTATTGTTTCCTAAATCCAACAGTATACAGTCATGTTTTTATAGATGTGAAGTCAAAAATAAAGCATTTTCTACTTCTCACAAGTGAGAATTATATAAGATTATAAGTATAACCTTTCAAAATACTTTTATCCAGTGCAAAAGTGCTTTAGCCTTCTTCACCCCTCCACCCCCACCTCCCCATTTTTATACAGCAACACCCCTAAATTCCTAGCTGCAATGCATATGTTCAGAGACTATATTTTTCTGTCAACTTAGGCAGTCATTGGTTGGAAAGCATCTGAGCCAATAAAATCATAAATGGATGAAATTATATCCATTGTCTCACAGAATTTTTCCTACATAAAACAATTTAAGTTCAAGTTACTGTGTCCTTTGAGTTATTACAATAATGCAACACATAACATTGTGCTTTTAAAATAAAACTCCTGAAACCAAATAATTGTCTTCTTTTTCCTAACAAAGATTTTTTGGTTCCAAAATAGGAAATAATTTGAACATGTAATAATCAGGTACAATTTATTATTCAAAAAGCAATAACATTCAGTAATACAAGCCTAATGATGCCACTAGAGACAGTATTTAATACTGCCATTTTTCTACAGTAGTTGCATTGGCAATTTCAGTTGGACAGGAAAGCAAACAGACTCCCCTGCATCATCAGCGGTACTTTCACTTCCATTTGTACGTAGGGGAAAAACATCCTTCTGTAATTGTAATTAGAACAGAAACACAAAATACCCTTTGATTTCTAAGTTACTGGTATGTTGAAAATTTAGCAAAAACATCAGACCAAATATACAGCTTTGCTAACTACATCCAAGATATGCAGGCAGACAGCCCTGGGCTGCAGACACGCTACGCTGTTTGAGTGTGGTCAGAGGGCAGGCTGATGTCCCAGGGGAGCAGTGTGCTTCTCATTCCACTGTGAACACAGGCAGATGAGGAAAGGCACTGGAATGGGCTGCCAGGGAGGTGGTGGAGTCACCTGTTCCTGGAGGAGTTAAGAAATGTGAAGGTGTGGTACTTAGAGATGTGGTGTAGTGTGCATGGTGGTGCTGGTTAGTGGTTGGACTAGAGGATCTTAGTGCTCTTTCTGACCATGATGATTCTGTGAGTCTATGACACGACCATGTTTCTCCAAGAAAAATGCATTCAGAATCACACACCAGTGTTCTTTTTTCCCCCGATTTCCTCCTGTAATTTTTTTCTGCAGATTTTAATTCTTTTCCCTTTTTCTTTATGGACATTAAAAAGCAGCTACAACCATAAGCTTTCCATTACTCTATGCTACTTTGTGGATAAGAGGGAAAACAATCCCTGTTTATAGAGGTCTCAACTTATAATGGAGGGAATTCTATCATTCTAAGCACAAAATGAAATCATATTTTCAGTGCACAGTTAATGTTTTTTTGTTTAAGCTGAATTGAACAAGAGGTACAGAACCTCAGAATCAAATTCACTCACAAAGTAATTTCTCCTTTTTCTTTGTCTTTTCCCATTGCTATGATAATTCTGCACTTCATATGACAGTAAACAGCCTGCTTCTGGATCAGCTAAATTCCTTCTTGACAATAACACACCAAACCATGCCCATAAATCTAAAATGTACAGAGCAGACAGTGGAGTCATTTGTTTAATATATAGTTTTTAAAAGTCAAGACACGGTAAGTGAATTTCATCTTCTGATTTGGTAGAAGGCAGTATTTCATTCAGTGCACCATCGAGCACCACAGCCAGCTACGGCCTGCACTTCAGAGATCTGAAGCACAGGACGTTTATCTGTTTAGAGATGATGAACGCTGGTGGATGGAGAGCGATCAAACAATTGTGTTTTCCTTTCAGAAATATGGTGGACAGAATGGCTGCAAAGTCCCTAGCTATGCCAGTTGTCTTCACTGAGAATGATGAAAGAAGTCCCCAAAATAAGGTATGTTTTCATTATTGTAAAGCATTTGCAATGTGCACTTAGCTCTTACTCCTCTGCCATCGTTCCTTCTTACAGCTTATAGCCCTTAGTTTTGTCTAGTGGCTCTAGCTTGTTAAAATATGACTGGTCTCACCAGAAGCACTGAAGAAATAAATGTCCTCATAAACAGGGATAATAATCTCTCCAAACAATGTCTCCTGAAGAAACCATCTGTGCAAGATTTTTAGACCCAGGTGTCAGATGTGAAGGGCTACACAGCCATCTCCCTAGACAAAATAGTAGCTAAAAACAATTCAGTTTGACCTGCAAATTGTTTATTGGCAGCTATCACAGATCGTTATTTGACTTACCCTTGTGTTCTGTTGTACGTGTGTATGCACATGCCTTAATTTGTTTGGTGTGACAAATGGCAGAATAGCTCATCAGGCTAGAGAAAATGGGTGTCATGTTCTATGGCACTACAGCCTGTCCGCTATTATCAAAAGATGGGTTGGCAAGAGTTATGAAAAAAAAAAAAACAACAAAAGGAAAGTAGAAGGTTACATAAAAAGAAATTAAAAGCTACAACATTCATCACAGCTTTGCCATCTCTTTCTGTGTGACACATAATATGGGATTGGAAGAAAGTGATTTGTAACCTTTTAACAATAAAAAGTTCAAAGATTGCATGCAAAGCAAATAGAACCAAAACTGTTGATGTACTGCTGACAAATGAGATTTCCTTGTGCTCCTGCAGCAACCAGAAGACTATGCTGCATGCATGCAGGCAGCAACTAAAAGCAGTCTGAGGAACATTCTTACATACATGAGGCAGGTCTGCATTGAACTTGTGGGAATTAAACATTTTTATTTGCTTTGTTGAAATCACAATCTTACACTGGATTTTTGGCTGGTGTTAGATGGGAATGGGTTCCATCAGAGTAATAACATTACATTATATTTTACACACGACATATTATTTATGTTCCTAAGTCTGAATGAAGTGAATTGAACTTAAGTTACATGATTTAAGATACTATGGTGAACTCTCGATGAAAACACAGTCCTAAAAAATTTCCTTTAAATACACTCTATTGCTCACGTAGTTTATTTTTCTATTCTTACTCCAATATGATGATTTACTGAACTATAACCAGAATGTAAATTTAATTAATATAATCATACACATGGGAATATCCTAAAGGAAAGTAGAATCATTATTTCAGAAATCTTACTATTTTTTTTCCTGTTACAATTAATATATAATTTAGTATAAACAATCTGACTTCTAATTATTATTACTCACCTTCTACATTTCTTTGAAGGCTTCCCGGTGGAAACATTTCTATTTTAATGTTATCTGAAAACACACGTAATGGAACTTTCCCATATAAAACATATTCCATGTTATCTCTCTAGACATTATTTAATTCTGCCTTCAAAAGAACAGACTAGTTAGGAATCAATCATTGTGGCATTATTCCATGAACTCTGGAGAATCTGTATGTCAGCATGCAGTTTTTGGAGAAGTCTTCACAAACTTCACTTACCATGATATATAGGTATATAACCATATATGTGCATGTATATACACACACATATGCAAATATATATATCTGTGTATATACAGTCAGGAAAGGTCAGAGAATCAGACTTATTAGTCCTCTAAGTTCTGTTTTAATAGCTTATTCTCAAGATATCCAAACGTGACATGTCTGGAAGAAACTTAATAATGGTACACTTTTGCCCTGTAGATCACTCGTTCTTCTGTTCCAGCTCATTTCAGGCAAATCAAGTTATTTAAAAAATAAAATTGATTTAAAGCATCAAAAACTTTGCTTCAAGAAAAAAAAGAACACCATTTTAAAATGACAGGATGGTTATTTGACTTCAGTCTGTTTAAACTATATTCTCTGAAAGGGATGGAAGTCATCTCTTAAACCATTCTGTCATGTTGGCTTGCTTTGTCTTAGCTTTATGTGTTAATCCTAATATCTACGTTAGTAAACTTGTCAATGATAAAACATTTGTGATTGTTTAGCCCGAAATCTTCTTTGTGTAAGACATACAGATACATAGAGACGTACTGATACACAGACACAGCTTCTGTCATATCCTCATGATATTACCATATATGCCATCTATATATATCTGATACATAGTGTGCCAAATAAGCGAATCTATGTTAGGAAGTTAGCTGAATGAATGAGAACTATTAGAAAGGACATTCATTGGCCACTTGGTCAAAGAAGATGGATTTTCACAATATATTGTTGGCAATATATTATTGTTGATAATAACTAGGATGTTTGGAAGAACAATTACATAATATAAGTACTCCTTGAACCCATCGATTGGATTGGTTTAAACTCCAGAGGGATTATAGCTGTATATGTAAAACTACCCAAAAGAAATGGGTCAAAATCTTAATCTGTTTATCTGATTTAGCAGCCACAAGACCAGAAGAGAAAAGATTCTGGAAGGAAGAGCAAAGCCCTAGACCATGATAGAAGAGTCATCTGGCTGCAAGGAAGTGCTGGTATGTTTGCTGTACATTAGAGAAAATTATTTTGTGTCTGCTAACCTTGTGCTGTTACAAAATTATGCAACTTTCATCAGCAAAATGATAATCTGTGTTAATTATGCTAAATACATCATCATTTTTTCATACAATTTCCTTTTAATTAAGCTTCAGATTAAGTATTAGATTTAGAAGTATTGGAAATACCAAAACCAACAGAAAATTGGATTAAAGTATTGGTTATGCCTAATAAATAAGCCCATAACAAAAGTGATTCATCATTTTCAAAAAAGTGGGCTGATCTCTGGCTGAATCTCCCTGAAGAATAATTAAAATGAAAAAAGCACTACTATTAAATGCAAAGACTGTTGTTATCCACATGACATCTTTGATGTGATACGAATGGGACTTATGTTCTACTGTGAAAAACCTCATGAATTATTTTACACCAAGAAAGCCAAAAGGCTGTGATTTGTAGAATAACATGGAGAAGAAACAAAGATTATCAGTAGTACCTGGAGTAAGGACACACGTTTCACAGCTTTTGGGGGATAAAAACTAACCAAACTAAAAAAAAACAACCAAGTCATGCAACAAAAAAAAAACATTTTGTTTCATTCTTAATTTATCATTTATCTATCATTTAGATAGCCAGCCCATTTCTGCTATCTGAAACAACTGGCAATAAGAAATGTTGATGTATGAGAAATGATGAAGTATGAGGAGAAATAACCAACTACCAAGAGGAAACAACACTCTCTTCACCAGAATTAGCAAGCAGCTCCTATATCCACTCTACTTGTCCTGTTAGGCCCATTTGTCCATCCTTGTCCTATCCTCAGTTGGGAAATTTCTTGTACTACTTCAAAATACTGGAAAAATCACTGAACAACAACTGTTTCAAATAGCAGCTATTCACTTATCACTGCCTTCATTGCCACCCAAGTGTCGCACATAGGTGTATAAAAACAAACAAACAACAACAACAAAAACTCTGAACAACCAATCTAGCAGCCAACTGCTTGCATGAGGTTTTAGCCACAATTTATTAACTCTCTTCTTATTCACTGATACCATGGTATGATTAAAAATTGAATGGTCCACAGAACTTACTGTTTTGTGCCAGAGCTTGAAGCAGACAGTCCAAGCATCCCTCCAAGCTATCTGCTGTGCTGTCAGTGGCTGTTATCTTCAGCTTTTTCAGGGCATCACTTAGATTATCTGCTTGGTAAACACAAAGAAAAGAGAAATCAGTGTCCTTAGCCGTTTGGTAACAGCACTGAATGTAAACAGTGACTGTAAAGTAAACAAAGTTCTGTATCAGTGAAGAAGGAATTAATGTTCTGTATTCTGGGGATACAAAAAGCCGGGAGTCAAAGGGTACGCATGAAATTAAACTTCTCAAATTTACGCATGCATTTATCCTCCTGCATCTGAGAGAAGGACGCCAGCAGGCACTTTATGAAATGCTGCTGAGCAGCAATTTAGCCATCAATATTCTCTCAGCTGAGTTGGTTTAAAGAACCGGCAGCAGTATCTCTGCTTGTACACTTCTGCATAGAAAAAAATATGATGGAATTAAGTACAGTTTGAATTTTTGCCATCAACAATGGGAAAATAATTGACAGTGCCATTTCCTGTGTGCTGTGTATGTTTCCATCTTGGCTACGCATTCACAAAGCCTCAGTGCTGAGCTTACAGCCTTTTAAGGATTATGCCATTTTCCACCGCATTGTTCTAAGTGCAAGTGCTGTTTATACGAACTGTGCTAACTCTTTAAATTTAATCCAACCATAAAAATATAAGGCATCTTCTAGAAATAAGAAACTTCTTGTGTAAATTTCAGATAATTAAATAACCCTTCCTTCTCCAGGAGAAAAGAACAACCACAAATGAACTCAAACCATGCAATGCAACTCTCAACAGCCGCCCATTTATTCTCATAGAAGTTAGGGCAGTATCGCTGCTGCCATTTTGACCATTCTCTGTATTTGGGAGTGAGGCAGCAGTGTTGGCAGCTGCTGGCCGAGTCTCCTTGCTTTGCTCACCGATGACTACCCTGATGCTGAATGGGCTACCCTTTAAAACACAAGTGCTGAAGCAGTTTCCATGCCAACTCTCTCAGTAGGCAGGAATTGTTACTCCAAACAAATAATGCTAAATAGTGTCTAGCCGCCTACCATTCCTGAGTGACTAATCAGAAAGCCTTCACCGCAGCCCTACAGAACCACAGGGAAAGCCACACTTTCCCTGCTCCTCGCTTGCCCGCATACAAGATGGTGCCAAGGAAAGGAGGCACAGCTGGAGCTCCCCTGTTGCTGCCGTTATTTGCCTGTTAGGCACTGGCAGCCCGCTGCAGAATCAGGATGTGCAGCATGGAGGGAGAGAAATTGCGCTCCTCCTAGAGCTGCTCTGCTTCTCAGCCTGAGCTGGGGCTTTCATCCCACTTCCATTTTGCAGCCCAATATCCCATTGAGATAAAAGTATGATGCTTCGTTTTTAAAGTTCCCAGTGTTTAGTATGAAATTGTTTATCAGGCAGTTCGTTTGTTTGCTCACTAATGTGCACGTTCTTAGCTACTCTACAGACAGGAACTCTATTCCTCCTAAATTCAGCTCTAAAGCCTCTGGGGAAGCTGCGCATGGTTCTGCTCCCTACCACCTGTCCTCACTCTCTTTGAACAAGCCAGCAAGAAAGAAAAATTTCTCCAGTATTGGCTTATGGTACTGCCCAGCAGCCTTAAATACCACATGTTTATTGAATGGCACTCCATCAACAGCTCAACATGCACTGCCATGTCAGAACCTACCATAGGCAGTGAGAATGTCTCCCCATCTCTTTTCCCACAGCCCCACTTTCTGCTTCCTTTTTCTGGGGAATGTCTGCTATTTTAATATACTACCCTTACATGTGGTATGCAGCATGATGTAATTTTCAAATGTGATCAACTAAATATTTCAATCTCTGGGATAAGTGACTCAGTTTGTCATGATACTGAGCACATGTATATCTCACTGACATACGTGCACACCTAACTTTTAAAAATCAGTCAGTGCTTTTGGCAATAGTACGCCATATTACTTTTAAAATGTTGCAATATAAACCAAATTGCCATTTGCTAGATGAGATTAGATTTTGTAAGTACTTTTAAAATACGACACAGAGAAATTAAATTAGAAACCATAGGCATAAACTGTGTTTTTAAAATAAATAATGATACTACTTGAGCTTCTAACAAGGCTACAGTTATAAACCTATTGCATCCTTAGACATATCTCTTATTCTGTGCAAAAAAAGAAAACACAAGTAGGAATACTGCAGGAACACCAGACCTCTGGCCACAAAATCAGAAAGCCACAAGGACAGGAGGAAGAAGTGGCCTTCAGGAAACATATTATTGCTCACTTTGTCTCTTCTTGCCAAAGCCAGGGCTTTCTCTCTCCTAAGGAAGGTTAATACCTTGAAAGAGGCATTTTTCTTTGACGTTGTGGAATAGTGGACATATGCAAATACAATACAGATTCAGAGGTTTTGTTCCTTCTCCCCCTTCTCCTTTTATTGTTCTGAAAGAACAAACCTTACAGTTGAAATGACATTGACAGGAATATTCAGAGTAAAAAGGCAGCAGTGCTCCAGTGGGTTCCTATCATATAATTACACAAGGCTTCCTGATTTCTGCAGTTTCACAGTTGCACTGAACCTGTCATTTAGGGAGGAAGCTGCAGATGCTTTTCTTTCACATACAAAAACCCTGTTGTTTCCTTGTGATCATCTCTTGCTTACTTTTCCATCTCTTTCTCTCTCTGTAGAAGCTGTTTCCAGCAGGCTTGTTACTGCAGAGACTGATCAGATTCTCAGAGACAAAAAATCCACGGGACAAAACCAATATAAGACTTTTTTTTTTCAGCTAAGTGTCAGAGAAATGTAAATAAGTAGATTCTGTCAATATGTAGGGTCACGTGAAAGCTCATTAGGTTGGGAAGATTTAAGGGGACAAGGTCGAGACAGTAAAGGTAAAAATAAGGTTCAATGTGATTCGTATGGTATAGTTGCTCAGCAATCTGTTATCACATGCATTTGTGAAGAATCAGGTCAGAGGTTTAACAGCAATATCAACTGTTTTGCTGATGATCCCAAGCACAGGGAGTCACTTCTACTTACATCTGGCTTACAAGATTGCTGTCAGAATCATTAGTTCTCTTACATGGAAAGCCCTGAACCCCACAGAATTTAATACCGTATATCCTAAAGATACTAACAAGTTGGGAAGGGGAGTTTGGCAAGCAGTCAGACCCAACTGGCCATTCCACCTCCTACTGTGTTTTGATTTTCCTTGATGATTACACAAACGATCAGTAAAACGAAATGGATTCAATCCTTTAGTAACTCCTGTTGCTTTTGGGTGCATGGTGTTATTACTACAGTCTCTTACACAGGCATTTTTACAGAATAGAAATAGAACCTGATTCACATAAATGAATACTTTAATATTTTGTTTCATTTCACTGTACCCTTATTTGTGAGAGCTTTATTATGGCTCTTATTTTCAACTACTAATTTATTTCATACAGAAGTACTGTTCCTTTATCTCATTAAAAAATTGGTAGTTCATCATCCTTGTTTTGGGTCAGGGCCTCAGGATTGCTGGATAAGCTACAGATAGTTTTACAAGATGGCCAGTAGTGTGCCTGGCAACACAGCTTCTGTGTCCAAGAACCAACTTGCTGATTTTGCTCTGAGTCCAAAGTATCTTTATCCAAACCACAGAAAAAGTCAAAGTACACCAAAGAGATGCATTTTCAGACTAAAAACAAACAAACAAACAAATAAATAAATAAATGTTTCAGAAAAGTATTTAGACTGATAAATGGTCTGAACAGTTCACTTTTCTCTATTTTGTGACCTTTTCCCAGTATAGTGATTTTTTTAAAAAATAACAAATGTATCATTAACATTTCCTGTATCTTTTGATTATACTGTTGTGATTTCAGGTACTAACACATTATAGTTGCAAGTTATCCTATTCACTCTGAATTCCTGTTGTACTGCACCAGGATAATCAAGAACTGCAGACTGTTCTGCAGATATTGTTCAGTCCACAATGTCAGAGAAGGTGCTCAAGGCAAGAGATGCACATTTCAGAGAGTAGACAAATAGACATGGATGCTGTAGCAGGTGTGCTAGATATGTTTGCATGTGTCTCCAGTCACCCAGGATCAGTAATAACCTGTGGCAGAAAAAAGGCACAGGAATGGCTGAGCAAAGGTAAGGAGTGCCTCAAGAAGTTAAACTGGCCAGAGCTCTTCCGTGTTGTAAAGAAAATGACTGAGTAAAAATGATTGAGATATATGGAATCATGAACAGTACTATCTTGATAAAAGGAAAGCTGCTATTTACTATTACTCCTAACACAGCTACAAAATGAAATCACTAAGCAATAAGCTTGAAGGAGAAAGTATATTTTCACACTACATGTAATTAAACTGTGGAACTGTTATGAAGCTGGAACTGTAAACAGATTCATTTAATTTATTCAATGAGAATTTTTTTTCATGAAGAAACTAAAATCCATGCATGACCATTAATAGTGAAATATGCATAGAAATTCTGAATTAGGAAGTTCCCAGTCCTCAGATTACTAGAAATTGGGAGCATGCCACTTGTCCCATCCCATCCCTGCCCTGTGTTTCTCCTGACATACACTACTGTGCACTGTCAGAAATAGCTGCCTCAACTCCTGGTATGATGCACCAGGCTACAGAGAGCTGTATGGCATCTGCACTGTCACATCGTGCCTCAGTGCTCCAGTTCACCAAGAAAAGATCTCCTCAGCTGTGCTTGGATTTTGCTGGCCATCTGTTTCCACCTGACAACCTGGGAATGACTTTTACCACAGTGAGAAAGGTAATTCCTATGTTATCAGCTGCATTTTTGATGCTGAACAGATCCTGAGACTGACCCCGGCCCTAAACCAGATTAGTACTTAATTCCATGAATCCGGACTTCCTAATCCAGGAGTAGCTTGTTGTTGTTAAATTTAAAACACAAATCCTGCTTCTTTGTCTCTGTTCTACCATTTGCAGAGATGGGTTAAAGTTTTTTTTCCAACCAGTTTTACTAGTACTAAGGAAATACTGATGGATCATTACTTTCAGGGCTTGTGCTGTAACCTGCTTTTAACTTAGGTACGTTTGCTCTACTTTTCTAGCATAGTGGCTAATTTTAATGAGATTGCCTATTTTTGACAACAGTTCAGCTGCTTCATTCTTAAACACTTTCTGAATCTTAGATATATACCATCTGGTCTTAAAGACTTGTTACTCTTTCACTTATCCGTTTTCTTCAGCATCTGTTCTTCTGACACCTCAATTTCTCAAAGAGCTTCATTTTTATTACCTGAAAGTACTGATACAGTATGGCTCATTGCCACCTGTGCAGCGAGCTACCTAATGATTTTTGATAATTATCAGGTCAGCCTATATAAGCTAACAACTACTTAGTTAGTATTCAAAACCAGGATAGAAACCTAAACAAATCAGCACCAGCCAGTACTTGTTCACTTGCAATCTCTTGCAAATTCAGAATTTTGAAGCAATTCTACCCGAAAAAGGCTGTTTTTGTTTTTGTTTTTAACCTCTGAATTCCCTCATGCCCCAAAAGGTGTAAGAAACATATACCTTTGCATGTAAGTGGAACTAAAAGGGTCAAACCTTTTAGTTAATACAATATTATTACAAACACATTTACACTGACCTGTAGCTGCTGTAACTGGTTTCTCTATGCCAGTGATCTTTTCCTTCTTACTTAAGTCCTGACTTGCAAAAGGCAAGATACCACAACAGACTCTTCAGAAGACTTTAAAGGATGCTGGAAGATTTTTGTCCCTTCCCAAAGAAAATGTGATGCAGATTTAGATATCTTTGTACTTCATAATGAAACACTGAAGATCTGGAGAAACTGTATTACAACAGTTTGTGTGGTGTTTGAAAACACAAAAGCCCTTAAAAATCGTGTTTAAAACATTTCCTAGAAGAAAATGAAATAGATCTTTTTACAAATATTTCCTTTGAGTATCAGCTAATGTTAGAAAAAATACTTATTTCAATTAATGAAGACACACAGTTGTAAGTTTATGAAAAGATATTTTCTGGTACCCTACTAGTAGGAATAGAATAAAAAAAATGATATACAAGATGGCTACCAATTTCTTAAAAAACACATTTATTTGACCTGCACATTTTCTTTTCATATTGTTTATTATTCCAGGTGCCTGATCTTCCACACAACCAAAACACAGGAGACATGAAGGACCTGTGTTAAACACAGGCTTTTTAACTTTTCACCAGACAGAAATGCAAAAAATCATCATCTACATGCAAACCTGAATCCCTTCAGTGGATTTATGAACTGTTGTGTTATACAGCAGTAATAAAGCAGGTAAGATGCCTCTTTTATCCCCAGTGATGTGCTGTGTCAAGATTAGTCAAAATTATAGAAAAAAATACGCAGTTCTCCTCTGTGTACTCCAGCTTAATTCCCACATGTTCATATGAATTTTTATAAATGTATTCATTTCATAAATTCATGTGTACCACAGTTCATTTCTTCAGAGTCACCTTAGTGGATAGAGGATCTTACTCTTCTCCATTTTGAAAAACTTTCATAAAGACAATATTTAAGTGGCTTATCTCCACAGATTTTGGTATGACTATAACCTTCTCTGACTGCACCTACTCTAAAAGCTTTGATCCTAATGTTGATTCAAGTCAACTGGGTATAAATGGCAAATGTTAAGCAAGAGGAAAACATTTTCTGGAAAATGTTTTTCAGTTTTCCTTCAAATTATTTCCCTGATGCATTAAAACAAACGCTGATTTTTTTATTTGTATAATTTAATGGGGCTCCCAATTTTCTATACTTTTCCAAGTTCTGTACACACTAGGGATTGTTAAACAGCAAAGTAACACAGATAACACTGAAGTTAGGTGAATGGATATTCACATGAGGCTTCAGTGCAGGATTTAGATCATAAGTATTCATCTCTCATCTATACAATGAAGTAAATCTACTGTTAGTTTTTTAATAAATTATTTGTTCCCCTTTTAAAAATACTGGACCCATCATCTTCTCCTCCATTTTTTTTTATAAACAGAACCTGGGCATTAAATAAATAAATGAAAATTGGACAGTATAAGCCTGAGGATACAATGTTCCAGTACTGAAGAAGCCAAGAAAAACTCTTATTGACTTCAACGAGCTCTAGATCTGACCTTTCGCCTATGCTATGCAAGTAAGTACATATAAATTATACAGTCAGTACAGTGTCTGTCATAATTACATTTATGCTATCAGTTTGAGTTACTGAACAAATATGGGAACAGATTGTATGCAAAAGCCCCAGGCTCATCTTACTCCATCCACAGTGAGAATTTTGCCTGAATATGATACCTGGGCTCAAAACTAATATTGCTAACTCTAATTCGATGTTGCATTAGTGTTCTTTTTGAAGCTTCAGGTACTCTAAGAAGTCGGTTATAAAATACTTATCTGTAACATAACATGCTTCTCCCTATCGTGGGCTCCCCGAAAGCCTTCAGTATGGAAATGAGGCACTTAAAAGGCAAACAGTGCATCCACGGTGTGCCAGAGATTTTGTTTCTCCCTTTTTTGTTGTTGTTGTTGTTTTTGTCTGGTTTGGAAGCCATCCTGAGAGCTTTCCTAGAGACAATGCCAATTTTCAGTTTTCAGATATGCCTTATGACAGTAAAGCCATGGTGATACCAGAAGAAGGGGATTCACAGAAATCATGCGATTTTATATCATTACCAGTGTCTTTCAATGAAAATAACATCACTACTGCTAGTGGTAACTGATATCAGAAACCAAGCTTTTTGAGTATGTAAGATATTTTTGTTATCTCTTACAAAAACACAGGCTTTGCCTCTTTATTACAAAGTCTGTTTCTAAATTGTTTCTAACAAAATCACTGTGTAAATAAAAACACCTCTTAAAATTGACTGATCTATAACAGGAATATGTATTCATTTTTCTTCTTTTAATTGCCATCAGTTTCAAAAATAACAAATGCCTCTCACATCTCTATCCTTACCCACCTTACAGAAGTGACAACCTCTGAAACTGCCAACGTGGTTGCATTATGGGAAGGTATATGTGTAATTTTGCATAGGAGGAAAAAATATTAAGCTCCGCGACACATTTTGTGTAAGCTTTTCAAATATAGTAAGCTGAAAACAAAATCTCAGCCCTTGACCTGTTGAGTGCTAACAAAATTCCATCTGGTCACTTAGGAGCTGTGCCAGCATTACCACACAAAGAGCCTTTGAGCCATTTGAATGTTCAAGAGTCATTTGACAGCTTTTTTATTTACCCTCTTTTTTTTTTTTTTTGTCAGATACACACCTAATAACATATTACAGATGGCTAGGTTCTAACAAGTTTACTTGCATGTAAGATTGAAACTACCCTTGAAAGTAAACTGCTGAGTTTTTGCTTTGGGCTGTTGCTTGGGTTTATGTATTTTTTCTAACATTTAAGATTGTTCAGTCTGCTGCTGCTCCGATTTCCTTTTTAGGCAAAACAAAAGTGAAAGTGAAGACCTGGTACATGGCTGTTCTAAAAATGTGAACATAATTAGACTGCTCAGCCTGCTCGAGGCCAATGGAATGGGAGTATGTAGTAAAAATGTCACAGTAGGCAGCAGGTTAGACAAATGTCTGTCCTGTGACAGATATCTTCATGGGGGAAACAAATCTCACTCTGAAGCGAGAGAGATTTCAGCAACAGATGAGTACTGCACTCAGTATGCATTAAGTGCATATCTTTTAGTGCCAAAATCGGTTATTGATTTATTCCTTCATCACTGTGCTAAAATATGGGTATTTAATAGTGAAAAATAAATTATGCATTAAAATCTATATTCAAACCTATGTTGGAAAAACAAATTTGGCTTGAGAGAAAAAAAAAAAACTTAAATAGAAATTTTGAGCCACCTGATCTAGCTTCAGAGTTAGCACTGCTTGACCTCCCTTGTCCCTAGTGACCTGCTTTTCCATGTGATGTTCTGAGTCCAACCGATACAGTTGTATGCACCACCCATACACAAAACTGAGCTGCCTGGCCTGGTATACAGACTTCAACACAGAAGAGCTAGTAAAATAATCATAGCAATAGCTGAATCATAGAATCATAGAATGGCCTGGGTTGAAAAGAACCTCAAAAATCATCTAGATTCAACCCCCTTGCCGTGGGCAGTTGCCAACCGATACAGCAGTCTGCCCAGAGCCACATCCTGCCTGGCTTTGAATACAGCCAGGGACTGGGCATCCACAACCTTCCTGGGCAACCTGTTCCAGTGGGTGGTTGAGGAGGACTCAAAATTGCAAGACTGGCAGATGTAATCTCGGCCATCCACTTGAGCGCAACATCCAGTCAAGAGACAAGTAAAGCAATACTCAGTGCTCCCCTAGACTCTGGTCTGGGATTTGAGAAATACAGAGTGAGAAAATAAAACAGCCCAAGAAGTGGTAAAACAGTGACGAATCTAGGAAATGCTCTGAGGCTTTAAGGAAACACTATTAGAGACTGAGTGGAGACATAATGATCTTTCTACATGTTCTGTATTTATTCAGCGCTGCATTTTTAGAGATATCTTCACATCTTAAACTGAGGTTGTTGTTGAAAATTAACAACATAATCTGCTTTGGTACTCATAGTCAGAGATCTTAAATTTTAATCTATTAATACCTTTGCTTTGTTTTGCTGTAGTACTTTTGCATGTGATTACTGGATACAGAGGGTACTAGCCTACAAATACTCACCATCCTAGAAGAAAGTCTGGATCCTGAGCATTTTTCTAAAAAGTAAGTCCTTTAAAAATTCTTAAAATACATAGATTTGTATTTTGCAGTCATTTTCCAGGCTAAAAAGTTGTATTGTATGCTGGATTTTCAAGCTGCGTGTTAAATTCAAGATTGATCAGAGTATTTCAGCAAAGTATGTTCCCTTACTTCAGCTATTGATCTGAGCTTCTCCTTGGCACTTGCTATCATGATGTCTGTGCTGCTCTCTTTGCATGTTAGCTCCATGAAAAATCTGATGCTTGACACAGAACCAGGAAATGGAAACTGAAAGACTGAGGGTTCACACAGAGTGCTTTAGCCAAACCTCAACAAGGAGAGTAAATATTTAGCCTGGTGAAGTTATAGAGGCCACTTTGTATCCTGTTCTTTTACACTTTCTGTAAATATGTAATACATATATTTCAGCGGTAAAATAAAGCATAAACAAGTAGATAATGTCAGAAATGAGATTAAACTGCTTCTAAAATAAAAGATAATAAGGCACTGCACTGTGCAGCTCCTGTAAGTTTTTCTAAAAACTGACCTACTTGTGCTATTGTTCTTTGACAGTATGTTAGAAAGATGCAGGTTGCAAATTGAATAGGTGACTTTAAAGACCTCCATTTACAAATGTCTTACAGTTCAAAAGTGCTTGTCTGTATTTTCCTATTAAGTTACTCTTGGTAAAACATTTTTGGCCCAAGAAAAGAATGGACATAAGAATAGCCTTTCCTCTTAAAAACCCAATTGTTAAAACTTATAATTCAAAAATTTCTTTTAACCACAGAAGGGGCTGATAAATTGTGATAGTTTCCTCATGCTTCAGAGAAAAAGGATCTTAATATTTTCTAAAGTTAATGAAGAATACAAAGGAAAACAAGTCTGTCCTGGAAAGTGCTGGTAATTGGCCGGTGAGATGGTGTGATGCCATTAGTGGTGTGATGCAATTCAGTGGTTTAGCACAAATTACTGGCTAAGGTGGCCCCAAATAAACAATATGTACTTGCAGGCAGACTGTGGTGCCCAATATTGTAAATTGAAGACTGGAGCCCTGAGTCATTTATAACTTGCTTTCGAATGTTTAGAATTCGATCACTCATCAAGAAGCTTTTAGGGCCAAAATGTACTCCAAAGTTTGTTTTTAAAGGTATCACATATCACCTTAAATCTGGTGTGACCAAGATTAATAGGCATCTGTGGTTAATCCCACTAGCTATAAATATTTACCTATTAATGCAGTCATTTGTTCTCACTCAGGAATGCAGAGGATATACAGCATCAATAAAGCACTGCACTGATAGGATCAGCTCAGATACTCTCTAGAGGAAAAGGATTCAACCGAGTTTTCACGTAAGGCTGACACAAACCTGGAGATGAATCAGATGGCAAAATTAAAACAGTGAGCAAAATGCTTAATATAGCAGATTTAAAAGAAATATTTCCACAAAACCCGCAAGTTTTCTGCATGATTACTGCAGCTATAAGTGATTGTTAACCTTTGCACAGCATTTAAGAGCTTTATTTAGTAAAAACTATACAACAGTGACAGAGCAGTAAACACGATACTGATGTTCTGAGGCTGCACACTAAGGCACGTATACACAGCTGGGTAAATCATCATCCAAATTTTATAAGCCTCAAGGATTATTTCAAACAATTTCATTGAACGTTTGAATGAATGAGAGGATGCACTGTGTATCCTCTGAAAATATGGTTTTGGAGTAAGACAGTCTGACAGGGCAAATCAGGAAAAATAAATCTCTGAAAGAAGAGGCTACTTCATATGTTTTAAAACTTATGTCTCTTAATTAAGTTATTAACTCTCCATTCTGCAACCTGTATTCAGCTGTATTCAGCCAATATCCCAAAAAGAAGTGAAATGCTCATAAGACACATCTGTAAGAAGTTCAATTAAAAAAAAAAAAAAAAAAAAAGGCAACCAAGATTTTTTTTTTCCTCCAAAGAAATATATTTTTAAAAGACAAAAGATTTCTGCAAAATGCCTCTTCTTATCTTAAATTGAAAGTAATTTGTTGCCTCTGCAAGCAGGATCTGAGTGTATTGCAGAGAAGTGCAGTAGTGCTGTGTTTCACTGCATAATAACCATCCCTTAGACTAAGTAAGGAGCCACTGACAGCAGCTGGAAGGAAGCAGGCTCTCTGTGCAATCTGCAGGCCTCAGGAAGGAAGGGCAGAGCTTGAAGAGATAAAAACCACCAACAGGTCCTTGGTATGTGTTTCACAAGGGATGCAAAGTTCTTTGGCAATTAGATATATAAAATTATAGAATGGCTTGGGTTGTAAGGGACCTCAAAGATCACCTAGTTCCAATCCCCCTGCTGCAGACAGGGTTGCCAACTACTAGATCATACTGCCAAGGATCCCATCCAACCTGGCCTTGAATGCCTCCAGAGATGGGGCATCCACAACTTTTCTGGGCAGCCTGTGCCAGTGCCACACAGCTGCAAATACCGTGGCCCCCAAATGAGGAACATCCACTATTGCTCCAAAGATATCTATTCCTCTGATGACCAAGCAGATCTTGACCAACCCTTAAATCGCAGGGGGAAAAGAATAAAATTAAATGTATAGACAGAAAAGACTCTAGGAAGCCTACTTCCAATGGTCCTATTCACTTGTCACCAAATTCTGAAGAAATTTAACCTTCAGCCCAAATCCACAATTCTTCTCATCCTCTCAGGCAGCTCCGTAGCCAAATCCATGCATTAGCCTGATAGAGATCTCTAAGAAGTGTGTCCTCTTGGCCCCATGCCACAATGTCCCCCATACTCACAGACCACAAAGGAAATCCTAGTGAAAATACTAGCATTCAACAGAAAGTAAATGACAATAAAATGAAAGTGCATTTTACACATTAACATAAACACTAAAATAAACCAAATTCATTCTCATCCTCTGCATGCAATTTCACAGAAGCATACCAAGGATCTTGTTGTTTCATGGCAGAGCTCTGGATTCAGGAAGAGAAAAGAACTGGACTACTCTCCTTTTTTTCTTCTTTTTTCTTCTTCCATATATGTGTGAATCAAAAGACTACTGAGGTTTGCAGCCCATCTCAAGGAAGGTGAAGGAAGTAATGCCTCTTCCTTCATTCACATTTGAAAAGAAGGAGTAACAAAGGCTCAGACTTTCACTGAAAAGATGCAGGTACCCATCTCCCAAATAACTCCATGCCCTTGGCCTGAGGTGGAAATTATGCTGAATAGAATAGAGGTATGCATGTTAGTTATGAGTGTCTTCCTGCTGAGCTTGGTAGTTGATCCTAGTCTGAACTCTGCAGGCACTGTTTAGAGAGCCAAAACAGCTGCCTCGGATTTCTGAATGCCATACTGGGAACTAGCACCTAAAATCCATAGCATATGCAGTCCATGCCTAACCACGAGTCTACACAAAAATTCCACTGCCATATTTCCCAATATCCATGTTATTTTATGCCACTTTCAAAGAACACTTCAGATCACTGCATCCCTGTTAAATGCAGCTGTACTGTTAGACAGTTCTACAGGGTCAGTAAACTACTCAAAACAGACACTTAAAGGACTGAGCTACCGATGGACTGCCAATCTTTTTACCATCTGGCTGAAATACAGTTCTAGTTCAGAAGGCAAAGAAGCAGAGAACAGAAGTCAAAACCCAGCAAGACTGAGAGGCAGAGGTGATTTCCTGACCAGTTGCTGCATGTCACAGGCATATCTGCATAACTCAGTGCACTGGGAAGTTACTTACATGCTGCCTGGCAGTCAAGAGACACATAGGAAGCTTTGCAACAGTAAGTCAGATGTCTGAACAACTCTAACAATGTGCCTTAGCCCCTCCTCCTGGAGGCATCTTGCAGCAACATCGAGGACCTTCACAGTCTTCTCTATAGCATATGTTTACAGTGTTTGTATGGAGAGAATTCTACTCGGTCAGCATATAGAACTCCCACAGATGCCAGCCACTGCTGCAACAGTGCAAAGAGATGACAGCTGAGGAAACAATCTCTCCTATTACATTCTCCAACTGTGTTTTTTTTGTTGTTGTTTTTTTGTTCTGTTTTGTGTTGGCTTTTTTGTCAATTACAACTGGTCCCTTGAAAGTAGAAGAAAGGAAAAGTGGAGAAAGGAATATTTCAGAAGTGGTCACATTATATGGGAAAGCTTACAGACACAGTTCATGGAGTAAATGTGCAGATTTGCACATGTGCCAAAAGCTACTGTCATTTTTAACCACCACTGACATGCTGACGTCTTAATGAAATGAGAGGAAAAGACCAGGATGCTTCTGTATCAGCAGGCATAAATCAGTGATGCATTGTTGGTAGCCATACTTCATTTACTTCCAGAAGCTGCTTATAATAAAAAAACCATATATATTATCAGTTTTAATATTCTTTCTCTCCATTTTACTAATACCCAAAAGCCTCATATAGAAAGTTACTGTGATAATATTAATTAATACAGGCAGCAATTGATCATTAAAGCAATACTTATCAGGAAAATTGCTAATGCTTCAGCTACAGGATAAAGAGATTTTTTCTTCTTTCTCCATTCCCACTTGAATAGGCAGGCACAAAGAGTTGTTATTTGATGGCTGCTGGTAATTTTAAATCTCCTGTATATACGGCAGATAACACGGCACACATAGCTCCTTCTGTGTCTCATCTAGGTGGTTGGCCTTCTCAGACTGAGCACACCCCTATTCTTTGTCAGCACTTCCCATCTGTAATCTTAGTTTGAATGCTGCAAGGAAAAGCTTACATGAAGACCCAGAAAGAGAGAATTAATAAGCTCTACCAGCACTGAAGAATCTACACCATCCCAGGGAAAGCAAGCCCTGTGCACTGCCACCCTTTTATAGTGAAGTATGTCTTCCCTGTGTGTAGAATGCACTGTGATAATACCTTAAAATAGTGCAGTCTATGCCCCACTAGAGAAGTATTAAATGCCACTGTCAAAATGAATTATTCCCTCATCTAGATGAGCAAAAGCTGTGGTCATCCTATTCAGGTCTACACTGTGCTGTAGAGGAATAAAAATAGTGATAGATGCTAACAGGTAACACTGCTAGTGTAGACTCATCTATCTTGAAAAAGCCTTCTTTTGTTCCAGATTGATAAAAAAATATTATCTAAGCTTAACACAAAACAAAACTACAGGTAAAAAGGCAAAATATGTTGGGTAAATTAACCTAAATTAGGAAGGGGCTTAAGTGTAGAAGACTCTACAGTTAAGTATGGGCCAGGATTTGTGCTATGACTAAACTGGAAGATCAGGAGAGCTTCAAAGTGCATGTTCTGATTTATCATATTCCATGTGAAAGAAACTCAAGTTATGTGCTCTGCCCTGATTAGCTGGAAAGAAAAGTGGACATGTAGGCAAGATGAGAGCTGTGGCATGCTCAGTAGGGCTCTCAGTAGGATGACTGGAGATCTGGACCCAATGGTTTCCCATGAATTGCTACTGCAAGTCATTCTCTCTGCACTTCTCACCAGTTAAGTAAGTAAAGTAGAAAAGAAAAAGCTGACATCCCATTTAGGCTACACTGAGAATCCATATTTCATCATTAGTGTTATTCTGCAGACTTCAGTCAGCTGGGTGTCTACAAATCAAGGTTTGTCATCTTCTACTCACTTGAATTAAGTGATTACCAATAATTCATGTTCACTTGCAACTACAGATGCTAGTCTAACAAATACTCCCAAACATTTTTTCAAGTATGTAATCATTTTTCTGCTATTCTGCAGTCACAAATAAGAAGTGTTTATCATTGCCTTACTTTATAGCGTAAAAAAATTGAATGGGAGTCTATACAGCTCTTTTTGGGCTGGACAAATTGCAGATTTTAAGTTTGGGTTTTTTTTTTTTTTTTGTTTGAAAACATTATAGCATGAAGGTAAACATGCATTTGAACAGTGTTAATCTTTTGCAGACAATGCTAAATCGGGGGATCAGCTGACACAACAAATAGCAATCCAGAGGCACCTTCAGAAACTTGGGGATTGGATGGCCAGAAGTCTTCTTCAGCAAGTGTAAGGACCAAGATTTGTAGCTAAGACTGAACAATCCCACACACTGGGAAAGACTGGGAGCTGACTGGCTGAGGACCAGCCCTGCTGAAAACACCCAGGGGATTACAGTGGAGGCCAATTAAAACATGAGCCAGCGGCATGTTCTCAATGCAAATAAATCAAGCAGCATTATGGCTATATTAGGAGTGTGGCCAGCAGATCAAGTCTCTGCTTGATGCTTGGTGAGAACTTGCACATCCCCAAATTCTTAACCTGGCTCTGGATGTCCCAGGTTGACACTGAGAAACTGGAGAAAGTGTAGGACAGGGCTCCAAAGATGAGCCTGTCCCCAGAGCATGTGATGTGCAAAAGTGAGGCTGGGGGATGAGGTCTTCCTCACTCTGCCGAAGAGAAGGATGAAAAGTGACTGAATAGTGGCCCTGCAGCTACCTAAAGTGAAGACACAAAGACTATGGAGGCTTCAAGATGTAACTACATAAAATCACAGTTGACCCGGTTATAGCACTGGCCTTCTTCAAAATCCTTACAACCTTTATTCAAAATCCTTCCAAATGACAGTTTTGTTTTCCTTCTACAAGACTGTGAATCTGCTCAAATTTCAGCTCCAACACTTCCACTGTTTCTACTACAGGCTTCCTAACAGAGCATCCAAGTAGGACATCCTTATTATAGGTAAGTCTGTTTTGCTGTGTGACAGAACTGTTAACTGCTTCATCTTGCTATAAATTAGCAGAGTGCAGACTGGAAAAATCTTCATCTGACTATTCCTGCTGTCTAACTCTTAGGTAACAGATCTTTTCCTCTTCTTTTTAAACAGACAAGCACCTTTTTCTTCCACAGTGTTGGCCTCAGTCATGGATAAGAGAGTATATGTATGTATAAAATAAACATACATTTTATACGTATGTATGTATAAAATTATTTCCTTTCTCTTAACAGCATATTGTTATGCGTTATTATGAAATTCTTGTCTTGCATTTACTCAGCAGCATATGTATATTTTGTGCTGCCTCAGTTCCTACATATGAGGAGACTGACAGTACAACTATAAAATATCACGGAAGTAGGTCCTACCATTGGAAAAAATACAACATGTAGAGTATGAGTGTATAACAAATGACCTTGATTAAGTCCTTCATATTATTCCAGAAGGATCTGAGCACAGCATTGATGAATGGACCAGGTAGACTTCTTTTCATTGTCCTCTTTGTTTGTAAATACAGAAAAAAATAGACAGAATGAGTCTTATTTATTTTAGCAAGATTTGAATTCTTGGAAAAAAAAAGAAATATATATATATATTTATATAACTTAAAATGTGAAAAACAATTTAGAATGTGGCTGTTTAAAAAAAAAAGCAAAATCTGTGAGGAGTTATACATGAGTATACATGACACAAATACACAAAGGGAACATGCCTACTACAGTGGCAATTCTGTGAACTGTTTACTAGTAGAACTACAAAAATGTATTAACACTATTGAAATTTTGCAGCGTGTTAATTGTTAGGAGTTGATGTGAATATAATGAAATAATTATGAAAATGCCCATAAGCCTTAATTCTTGAGGTAACTAAAGAGTTGTGGATGCACACAGGCCTTCAGGCCTGACAATTCTGCTATTAATTCTAACAATCATTATGGCATTTGCACATTGATACCTCTCTTAATGATACATTGCCACACTGAAAAATACATTTTGGGAGCAAGCATTGTCATAAGTATTGAATCAATATCTCTTTTGAACACTATATATTTCATTTCTTAGGCTATTTGTTTGCCTTCATACTTCAGAGTTCATGATAGAACTCAACTAAGCAGTTGTTGCTTATTTCCTGTGTCCCTATGTGGGTCAAAAGCAGCCTTCTACAATCCGTTCACTTGTAAGTCTTGCAGGAGAATCTGTTTTAATGAATTAGTGTTTATAAATCCCTCTGAAGAGGAATCTTTTAATGCTAGAGCCCAGGACTGTTAATTTCACCCATGGCCAGTGCATCTACCTTTTCCCTCAAATGAATGGGAGGTCAGATTTCTTCAGACCTGTGTCTGATCCCATGATGCACTGAAGTGACTGCAGCCTTCTGAGAATGCAACTCCTAATTCTCTGGTGCCACAAATTCTTCAGCACACTGAACATCTGCAGCTTTTTTTGGCTTCCACAGTTGTGAGTGATGGCAGCCCCCAAAACTCTATGCAGACCTTTAACCATTAATTCTACTAAACCAGGACAAGAATCTAAAAACGAGATTTCTTTAAGGCATCTCAGGTATGAAGGCACTATGGACATCATTTTATTACCCATCACTTTATTGTCCATTATCCTATGGTTGTTTATGCTCAAGTAGGACACAAAAGCTACATTTTAGGCCCAGTTACCATTTAAATCAAATTTGCAGCAACTTTATGCATAATACAGGGTAATGGAACTAAGGCCATAATCTGACTACACGGAGGCTTCAGCGGCAAAGCTTGTTTCAACGGATTACCTTTTCTAAATGCTCTGCAACCAGGTCAGTTAAAGCACTGCAAGGCAATACCATTTAAATCTACAACATGCACTTAAAAATGTTATTTGATAGTTTGCTGTATTACGTTTAAAGATGACATGTCTCAGCACAGGAAAAAAAAAAAAGCTTTATTTTCATTAAATTAATGCAATTTTAGAAGTTCTGCATTGAACATGCAGACCTTTCACATCAGAGCAACCAGACTTCTTTGCCTGATGGCTTTACATTACCCGTAGGTTGTATTAGATGAAGCAGCAGAAACATCTCTAATGTAAAGATTCAAATGATATGCTGACTTTGGGGACAAATTAGTTCCATAGGTACGGAGTGGAATAATACTAAACTGACATAAACAAGCAGAATTTGCCTTTTATACTTAGACTTGCATCCTTAAGATATTAAAAATGAACACTGAAGTTCAACACATGCTTTGTGATCAAAGAGTAAGAGTGGTACAAGAGTGGTACAAAAGTGGTACTGTTATATGAATACAATAATCACCTATTCTGAATGTTCTCTGCAAGTCCAACCACCAAATGTTTAAACAAAAATTGCTGCTGTATTTTCATTCTGAACTGTTGGCCAAAATCAGAAGGGGCCTCTTTTGACACAGTGGCTGCTTTTGCAAGAAGGAGTCTGGGGAGAAATAATGAGGAAATATCAGGAGGGTGCTTGCAAGATTTCCCAAATTTTCAATTTTGATATCTGATATTTGATCTAAAAGTTAAATCTCTGCAACCCCAAATGCAGTCCAAACTTAATCTGCATCCAGGCTCCTCAGCGTATTTCTGATTGTAAGAAATGTATTTCCGATAACAGTGAAAATAATAATAATAATAATAATAATAGTCTCATCCACTTATTTTTAAGATACAAAAAGTGTCCAACAGAAAAGGCCGTTTCTCAAACAACCTGCCAAACTTCAGTCATTTTGTAAAATGTGCCTATTAATCAGCTTTCAGAAAAAGTTCTCTATGTACAGCCAAAGTTCTGTTTTGTTGATGACCATTTCTGATTTTAGAAAAGCAAGCAGTTTAAAAGTTGCTGAAGTGTGCTGGCTTCTGACTGACACCTTGTTTGTTGTGATGCCTGAGTGCAGTGAACTGTTCAGAATCTGAGTATGCTAAAAGTAATCCAGAAGCTCACATCTGTTGCTTTTTATCACAAGAGCTCTCTAGTATCAGAAAGACAACCTCATAAACGTTTTGAAAAAGAAAACTACAACAAAAAGCAAAACAAAACAGGCCTCCCTTGCTAACATAAAGTGCTTTATTTTCTAGGGCATTTTTTCCCCCAGTCATCTGTTTTGAACTGGGTACAGGCACAGAACTCAAATTTTACATTCACAGAAGAACTCTTTCAGAGACTGTACAAGAAATCTGAAATTCTACCTTATTCTTAACAGTCAGAAACAGAAACTGTGATGCGTTCACTCCCCTTGTAAAAGGAGAAGTTATAGCCTTCATAAAGATAAACAAGCACTTCAGATCATTTCTGGGATGATGATGCATTCTGAAGAAGTGCACTGAATTGTTTTTTGTTCCTCCTACAGCATTCTTGCCTGTGAAACAGTAAGTATCCACATTCTAATGTGGCATTAGAAGCATAATGTGTATAAGTCTTAGAGAGAGAGATTTCTAACATATTCTGGGAATATCAGAAAATACCAAAAGACACTATCTAATGGCTGCAAAATGCATTTCTGAAACATATTTATTCTTTTTTCCTATGCTGCTACAAGATAGAACTTTATGTATATTAATAGCTTACGACATCGTGCTTACGATCCCTTTTACAGGATGATGTTCTAATGTTATCCTCATGTTAAATTGGTTTCTTCTTTAAAATAACAAATTACTATAAGCTCTACGATTCCATCAGTTTTTAAGAAAAAAAGATTTCAACAGATCTTCTTTTTCAGCACAGAATATGGCGCTTCCATCATTTCTTCATGTTATAAACCAGCATAGTGCCGTACTTACCAATAAAAGACATTTGAACAGTGCTTCTCAAAATTAGCCCAATGTCTAATATTTCCATCCTCCCAACTGCATAAGTTGGAGAGCCAATATTTCTAAGTGTATTTCTATGGAACATGATATTTTGCACAGTTTCACCCAGACCCTATAGTTTGAGGCCCATTATAGCTGAGTCAGAAAAGCAGGATCCTGGTGACTTCAGTGGTACTCAGTGTGGGCTTTGTGTGGGTACAAGAATGCCGTATAAATAGCATTTACATGAGTAGGGCCCAATCCTGGGCTGTTTCTTTCCTACAAGATACATTCTTTCATGCAGTCTTGCTCATTGTATGTTAGGCGAAACTAAAAACTGATTTTATATTAGTTTTAACTAGCAGATATTTACGAAAATAAAAACCAAAAACCTTCTGCTTTTGAAAATTAGAAAGTGGAACAGCAGTTTTTCGATTGTTTCTCTAACAAAGATAGTGGAATGGGTACGAAGGAAGAAGCTGTCAGATAATTAATAAGGACAGAACCAGAAGAAGAGAGAGTGGGAGATGGGAGGAAAGACAGAAGAGAACAGACAACTGGAGGAGGCAAGAGAAGGAAGACGTTACAGAAAACTGGGCAATGAAATAAGGGGCTTAGCAAAGGACTAAAGGAATAGAATGGCTGTGGAAGAGAGTGGGAAGAGTAAGAAATGATTCTTAGGTTAAAAAAAAAAAGAAATGACTTGAAGAAAATGAGGACATTATAGCATCAGTTAGAGAAATGTAGTTTTTGCCTGGAAATTGCGCACCATTTTGGGCACTGCTGCATGTAAACTTAATGATTAGTACCTCTGATTTAACTGAAGTACTTATCCTGCTGTAAACAGATGATGGAATTTGTACTGCAATTGTTTAAAACAACATCACCACTAAATAACTGAATTTCCTTGACTTCTGTCAGCCATTCTTTATGGGTATATTGCATATCTTGCTCTCAAACTCCATAATTTCTCTGCTTTCATCCAAATTTCATGTGGCGGGAGCCAGTACGTCTGTATCACCCTCTGAGGAGATCCAGGAACAAAGGCTCAACAGGTTTTGCAGGGTGAGATCAAATATGTTTGTATATAAAGCCTATTAAATGTATTTCTAAATTCATTTAATCATAGCAGATGTTTTTACAGTGAATGCCTTTGTGGGCCAATTTTCTGTTGTAGTTTGCTTTCTTTTCTGCTTCCCCCCCCCCTGCTGCCCCCAGTAGAACTATAGCCTGGCCCTAAAATTGATTCAGTGCATAAAGATAGGAGAGGTGGGAGTGAAAGGAAGAAGCATCATGGCTACTTGTTACTTAAGAAAGACGTGGGGGCAAGCGTGAAATATCCCCAAAACGACTCATTGCTTTGGTGCTCCTCCTGATGATCATGTTAATTCCCTGAATTTCCTCTTAAAATTCTCAGAAAGGGGTATGCCTGAAGAAGGGGTCACAACTTTGAAGATGCTATTTCTACATACACTAGGCTCAGAAGACTGACTTCAGTCAGTTCCTCCAGAGGCCCAGCAGGTATAAGTTAAACATTCTGTGGACAGGGAAAATTTGGATAAGAAAGATGTGTACACTCCTGCTTTGGTTTTAAAGCCTTTTTCTCTTTGCATGCTTTGTTCCTGCTGTCAAGATAAAACAGCATTTTGATTTAAGGAAATCGTTCCAGAGCCTTCATGCAGCACAAGGAGCTATTTGGCAGTGCTGAACTCAGTTTTGCCTGCAGGGCACTGGGTGTTGCAAATTGAGATCATCTTGGGTTTCTCAACAAAGAAAGGATACAGGCATGAACTCAGGGAAGGGAGCAGAAGTGCTACTAGCCCTGAAATAGTGACATGTGCTTGTAAGGTTGCTTCTAAGGCTAGAAATGCTGATTGTCATGTCATGAGACTGGTACAACACCAAAGACAGGAAACCTTTCTAAATATGCTCTCAAGAGCAGTTCCTGGCTGGCAGACAGCAGGCTGCACTCAGCACCGTGCTCACCTCAGCCAAACGCTCCACTGAACCTGCAGACCACAGGCCTTGCAGCTGCTCCTCTTTGATGTCTGGTTGTATTTATGCTCAAGCAGGAAAAATTTTAAGTTTCCAGCTACAAAACACTGACACAGTGTTAATCCACACAATACAAAGCAGTTCTAGTTCCTAGTCTGGATACAGTTACGGGCAAATGGGAGTTTGTAACTTGCTGTTTATGAGAGAGTTTTCTTTTCCGCCCCCCTCCTTCCTTTAAGATACGATGAGGGAAGTATTAATCCTTCATGTTACACATGGGGTTATTTTTGGACTGGCATACAGTAGAGAGAAAGGCATTCACTGAAAGGTGAAGAATTCCATAAGAAGAGGTTTTTAACTGTAGGTTTTGTGTCCCGATGCTCCCACAGTAATGTACCAGGAGAGCCGTAGAAACAGAGGAAGCTAACAATGGGCACAGAACTCCTCAAGTATCAACAAAGGCCTGTTGTTCCCTACAGCTTTTGGCAGCCCCAGCAAATTTCTCCAAAGCTCTGTTCAATCCTCATCATGCTGTACATCCTGCCATTAAGCTGATCTCTTCCATGAGCCTGGGCCTTCTTATTCAGTCTCCATCTCTCTCACTCACTTTTCTCTCTTTCCAGTCTTACTCCCCCGGAATATTTGCAAAAGTGAAGGAGATAGGGCTGAAAGATAGGCTGCTTATTCACCACGTGACTTTGAACACCTGCTTAACTGCACTTAATCAGATATTGACACGGCTTGCCGAATCCAAATCAACTGACAGGAAATGTAAACAAAAAAATTAATGCAAAAATTAACAAACAAATCTGGCAGATTTCTTCCAAATGATCACGACTGTCAGGCTGGCAAGTATCAGAGGCCAAAACCAACTGATGAATGTATGCAACTGTGATTAACTATAATGAATCTCACAGAGCTATCACTCACACAAGGAATTATTCGGTGTTTTAACAAAAGCTCAGAACCGACCCATGCCTCACACATTCCCATAATACATAATTAGAAAGCAGTAAGTTTGTTAAGAGATTTGAAATATGAGGAAAATAGCACTAAGTATTAAAAGGGATCAAGTAAAATATTTCCTTTCCAAAAGAGTGGGTTTTTCTCCTCATTTTTGAATGTGTGAATGTAATCTTTGTAGTAGGTTTGTCTCACCTAGAGATGCAAAGCTTGAAATGCCCTCATTTTATTCATTTTAGGTTGCAAATTTTAACACAATTTCATATAGACATCTACTTTTTCCTCTATTTAAACATGTTTTGAATTCCAGCTGCAACAGACACACACACACAGATGTTTATTTCCTGATATATCTTTTCAAATTCTCCTAAGAAATATCTGAAAGAGTTTCAAATAAGGGACGTTTCTGAGACATGTATTTAAGCAAATAGTTAATGTGAACTGTGTCTTTATTTGCAGGTCTCAAAGAATCCTTCGCTAAACCCCATCCTCCACCTGAAAGTAAGTGAATGGCAGTTATTTGGTTTATAGATTTGCCAAATTCTACTGGGTGTCTGCTGAGCCTGTAATCTTCTTGAACTACAGCTTAAGAGTGGGCTGAGATCACCAGGGTTTCTGCACAACTTCAAAGCTCCCTAAAGCAGAACTGTGACTCTCAGACTGAACAAATGTCGCCAGGCTGTGTGCACAGCTTTGAAGCTCCTTGAACCAAAGCCATTTGTTTCGGAGAGTTTACAAATTCAGTTAGGCATATCTAGAGCACATGAAAATTCTAAAATGTATCAGCTATTTTTTGGAGTAAGTAGAACTTCAGTGATCAAAAATCTGTGTTGTTGTTGCTGTTGTTTTTACAATCATCTTACACTACCAAAACCAATTCCATCTGCTTGCTATCATTAAAATTTGTAAACAGAAACAAGTTTCTAGACTGTATTTAACAAGAAGAGGCCCTGTGAGATTATATGTAGCAGCTTCACTGCAAGGACAAAGTCCCTTCATTGGAAAAGTTCCTTGCCTAATTGACATTCAAACAGTCATTAAAAAATTTCACCAGTAGCTGGAGAAGGCACACAAGATTTTAATTTTCAGAAGTTTATACGTAGTTAATAATCAATTTTAATCTGGAAGTGAGATACTGTCTTAAACATAATGTGTACAACAGTGTAAAGACAGATGGAATATTTCTCGTTAACACAGAGACCTGGGTGGACTTGTCAGCAGGAGAAAGTGGGTTTTCTCTTACGTAAGTAATTAGGTCACCAATTAATGTCCGTAACACTCAAGCTGAATCCTGCAACAGAGTTAAGGACCATACCCAACCTCCTGGTCAGGTGCCACAGATGGAACATCAGAGCTTTCTCTCATGTCAAATGGTGACAACATTGTTCTGTCCTTTATTGAACAAATGTTAGTTTATGTTAATGACATATTTACTTCTCTTTTACATATTCATAAATAATTAAGTTCTCAGAACTTCCAGAAATAGATCAGCTTTACTTAAGGAAGGCTGAGAATTATAATGAATCTTCTCAAGGATTATCAGCTGCAGCCAAAATGAATTACAAAGAAAGGGTAAAAATGCTGATTTTATCTATATCTTTCATACCCTGGCAATTGTATCAAATGGGGAGTTGGGAGTGGATCAGGAAGAGAGCTCCTAATTTTCTTCTGACATTTCTGTTTTCTGTTGTTCCGTTCATTCATTCCTTACCCCATCTTTCCTTTGCTTCTAGTACTTCTCTCCCTCCACACATTTCCTTTAAGGGATTTTTGTTCTTTCTATTCTTGTCTTGGTAGCTTTCTCATTTCCATTATCAGTGCTTTGTTTCCTTCAGTTTTCATCTGTTCTTTTGCCCTTTCTCTTCCCAGTTTTATTTTGACTACACAGCTACCACTGCATATTACATTCTTAAGAAACACACTTTTGAATCAAGCCTTTAACCTAAAGCAGGAGACAAAATTGATTGGCTTTCATCTTATGTAATAACAAAAGATCACAAACTTCGGCCTGAAAATAGGAACATTATTTGTTATGGTAGAGCAGTCAGAACTAATTTAACCTCTCTGGATGCTTCAGAGGGACACTCTGAGGAACTTTATTCGAGGAAGAAACAGAGCCATATCCTAAAATCAGTTTCTTCTGCCTTTGTGTTTTCAGGACAAGGTTTTTGCCAAATGCAATCTTGTCTTTGGCTATAATACATCTCACTCATTCTGACTTAAACAGGTGTATTGCTGCTGGGTACAACTAATATGCTAGCAATATATGAAGTCCCACTGTATTTGCAAAAGCTTTAAAATAATTAAAAATTAGCTTTTTTGTGCAATAAATATATCACTTTTATAAGCAATCTATGAAGGTGACTCACATCTCTTACAAGATCTCTTACAAGCAGAATTGTTTTCAAGGAGGACAACTTTTTCATTCCTCTCATATGTGAAGCTATTGATTACTCACAAAAACCACACAGGCTTATTCCCATTTTCCCAAAAGTGATATTGCACACAGCCATGCCTGAATATTCACTCCCTTCTGCCATCTTCACTGAGTGAACCAATATCATGAATACAGACAGTGGCTTGTGACATTCTGATCTGGAGTTCACAGCCACCAGGCTGGCCACAAAGCTTGACAACTGTGGTAATTCTGTATGGAAACTAGGAGCGGAAATACAGTGCCCTGGGAGGAGAGGGGCAACGTAAGCCTTTGTTCTGACAATTGTAACTAAATGCACAATAGCCATTTACATTATAGCCTGTGTATCTCCTGCATCTCATCACCATGATATTAGTGCTAGGTATTGCTAAGAGAATCTAAGAAGTTCCCCGACCTCCTTGTGCAACTGGCAGGTTGCTCTCACGGTTTGTTGCCCAGCTAAGTGCTGAGGAACATGTTAAGCTTCATCAGAATAGAGGCCACCTTCCATTTCTTGCTAACACAACGGGTGCTTTGAAATGCAAGAATGGTCTTCATGAGATTTCACTGCTACTGATCGTAACATCTCTATTTCAATCTGCAACTGATATATACCATAAAAATAACTTTGTGTGTAACCCGTATTTCTGTTCAGTATATGAACTCTCACGAATTATGTTTCTCCATCTTTTGGGGCCAGTGCATTAGTGTTGAGTGGTCAATGCATATCACTGATTTATCTTACAGATTCGTGTTTGTGGAATGACTGCTGCCTGAAAACAGTAAAACCTGCCTGGCCACAAGGAGTTCATGACAGAGCATGCAGGCTGTGGTTTTGGAGGTTAAAAGATGAAAACTGACCAGAGAAAGGGGCTATTCATCAGGAAATGGAGGCATGACATCAGCAACTGAAAAGTAAAAACCTGAAATTGTTCTTATAAAAATAGAAGCATAGCACACGTTGTCTCAAGTACTCAGAGTTTTGCTACTAGGAGCACTTCAGCAACTTGTCTCGCAAAGCTAAGAAATGAACGTTGTTGAAACTGTGCCATTCTGTGTACGTGACTTCAAAAACTACATAAGTACGAGCAACAAAAGTGACAATTTTGAGAAGAACCGATATTTATGAGAAGAAGCCACAGTCCTCCAGGAGGAAATGACTGCCATGAGAATGACTTCAGAGGAATACACACTTGGGGCTGAAGTGGCAGCAGAGATTTCTATACAGCAAAGAGAATGCAGATCCATATATACACAAATATTTTTAGTGGCAGAAATCTTTTGACTGGCATTAAAATATGCTTACTTGGCTTTCCATTTTATATCACCAGTATACAGATCAGCTAATACTAAGCCAGCATTTTTGAACACAGAATAGAGCTCACATTTAACTGTAAGGCATCACCGCACTCTGCTACAAATGCCTATTTGTTGAGCATGATTTATGGAATGTAGTGCAAGCCATAGGAAGAACAAATTAAACACTGCAAATATTCATTCTCACTTCAATTCTAAGGATTTGCAGCTGTTATGTGACACAGTACCAAAAAGAATGCTATAAGCAGAATGGGGGAAGCTATCGCATTGACTGTATGAGCTAGAACATAGATCTTGAACAGCAGAAGGCATAGTTAGCTGCTAGCCAAGGTGAAACCGATTTCATTCTTTGCTCTTTGGAGCAACAAGAGCTGCTGCAGAGGCTGTAGTTTGCCTGGATTCTTATTAAGGGCAAGAGGGCCAGGCCCCAATATGCGAAGGAGTGGGCACAAGTAACCTCTGATCAGTTACAGACGGGCAGTGACAGATTCTAGAGAAAAATTCAGTCTTCCTGAAAACATTTTAATGACTCTTACTTATATAGCAAGCTGGAGCAGATTCTCAAGCTGTTTTCAAACTTGTCTGCAGCTGAGACGTAGTCTCATCTAAAACAGTGCTGCATTAATTCTGCATCAGCTTTTCTGAAGAGGTTTAGCTAACACTGTGAAGTTTTTTTTTGGGGGGGAGACAAAGTAGAATTGGTCACATCTGTACTTTGACCAGAATACTCAGATTACCAGCCTGACTTTGTGAATAGAGACAGGAAATACATTCTCACTAAATCCTGGTATCTCCATGCACGAAAAGAGGCCTTTGCTACACTGTTAAGAGTTGTTCCTTATTCTGAGCAAGCCTGACAGCTCTCCTCCATGCCTGACCCCTGGCAGCTTCAATTTGCAACTGTTCTCCAGGAGTTCTCCATCACTTTAAAGGAGGCAAACAAGTATCTATCCCATTCCACGACCAGGAAAACTGAGGCACTGCAAGTGCTTCTTCCTATAGAAACTTCTAGTCGAAAAGGAAAGATGTGCGTGATCTGCAAAAAGAAACTAAACAGTGCAGCACCTGAGGCTGCAGGAAGTGCTGATGTCAAAGCCCCGAACCGAAGTCAGGCCCCTTGCCCAATGTGCAAAGCACACATCCCCTCGCCCCGGGGATCCATGGCCCAGAGTGCAGTGCCACACAGGCCGGCGGAGCCACCCCTGCCCCAGCGCCTACACTGCAGCCAGCTGTGTGGGGAACCTGATGGTGGCTGCTGGGCGCCGTACTGTGCGTGCAAAGAGGAGGAGGTGGGGAAGCGAGGAGAAACCCAGCGAGCGCTCTGTGAAAGCAGTGAAACGCTGTGCTCCCTGGGTTCACACGGGATTCGCTGGAAGCTCCATCCAAGTGGCGACCGGTGCGAAACTACTTAATTTACAACATTAAGAGACGGGGGGGGAAAAAAAAAAAAAGAAAAAAAAAGGCAGAGGTAACATGGCTGCATTCGGAGGCACGAGTAACGCTCTTCCTCGCAGCCGGAGCGACACGAAGATCCTTACGTCTTTCTCCAACAGCGGACAGGGACCGCAGCATAACCTTCCCAAAGCGTTACCCCGACTGCCTTCGTCACGCCGGCCGCGATCGGCGAGAGGTCCCGGGGCCGCCTTACGTAACTCCGTGCCCCGAGCCGCCCTCAGCACACGGGCAGGCGGCTCCTCACGCCCTCCGCGTGCGGATCGGGGCGGCCCGGCCTGCGCGGAGCCGAGCTGCCGCGGAAACTTTGCGCCACGGGGACCGCGCGCTCCGAGCCCCGCAGCCGGCGGGGAAGTTGCACCGAGCTCGGGCGGCGGCCTCTGGGGGCGGAGGGGCGGCAGCAGGGGCTGCGCAGAGGGGACTCACCCATGGTGGTGGCGCCGCGGCGGCCTCCTCCTCCTCCTTCCCCTGCTCCCGGAGCCGCCGCCGCCTCTCGGGGAGGCGCGGGAGAGCCGTGCGCGGAGCGGAGCGGGGCGAGCGCGGCAACGGCGCGGAGGCTGCGTGCGGCTCGGCTATGAGTCAGGGTAGCACATCCGGGCAAGGCCGCCTGGGAGACACCCCGCCCGCCCGGCGGCACCCTGCCGCGCCGCTGCCGCCGCCGGGGAGGGGCGGGCAGGCACGGAGAAGGCGGTGCGGGGCCGGCCCGGCCCGGCCGCGGGAGGGGCGGGGAAGGAGGGAGACGAGGGCGGTGCCGGCGGGGGTTGCGGCGGTCCCGCGCCGCCTTTGTTAGCGGGGCTGAGGGGTGGCGGTATGGAGGATGGGGTTGTTGGCGAGCTCCTCGGGCTCTGTCTGGCGGCCCTTTGCGCGAAAGGAGAGCTGAGCCGGGGGGCGAGCGTTGTGAGATGGGCCCCGTGAGCTCAGATCAGCGGAGGAAGGGCAAATTGCCATTGCCTTAAGCCGTGCGTTCTGCTGAAGCGATGCTGGGAACTGCGCGGCCGAAAGCGAAAGGCTTCTGCCCGCGGTTGTTGTGTGCGGAGGACATTTTTAACAAGAAAATGAATCTCTGTATTCCCCCTTCCTCTCTGCCCTGGGATGTTCAGTTTTTGTAGCACAGCAAGCAGTCGCGAACGCTTTGCTTTGACAGTCCTCGCGTTGTATCGCTTTCATAGGGAGTCTTTGTGTTAACAATGTGGAAACATTCTGAGCGTCTTCGCTTTCTTCAGTTCTTTCCTTATTCACAGTTTTACTCGAGTAAATGCCACGGTGTGGTTGGACAGAGTAGGACGAAAGAGTCAAAGTCTTGTTGCTCCATAGGCATGGGCAGCGGGTACAGCAAGGATGAGCGAGGAGAAAAAAGGAGCTGCAGCTGAGTCAGCCCCGCGGTGCACGAGTGGCAGCCGGCAGCTTCCGAGGGGTCCTCCATGGGAAAGGGCTTGGAAGCTTTTGTACCTGAGAAGGGGCAGCAAAGAATCAGCAAAGGGACAGGCAAAGAATCATTTGCCGTCCCTTCTGTGCAGCACAAGAGGAATGCTCTCATTTGTCCTGTGTAGCCGTGCGATTCACCACGTCTTTGCTTCTGACATCAGCCGCGTTTTGCAGCTGACTTCAGTGGGCTTAACCACTGTCCCTTGGTGCAGAACTTGATCCTGAAGATACTTAGCTTTATGCTCAGTTGATGTTGAAAATGACCGTGTTTTTACTATGGTTATACAACTGAAAGGCTTCATTGCATTGAGACTGCAGAAAACTCGTTCAAAGCAGAACACGTTTGTGCTTTGCCTGCAGAGTTTGCCTAATTCAATCTCTAATAAAATACAGCAGTTCTTAGATGAATCTCAGTGGTGAAAAGTCGCTGACTTCAACTATTTTAAAATCAAGCCTGAACTTCATCTCTTACATTTTTGCTTCCTTATTTCCTTCTGTTGATAAAAGCTTTTCCTTTGTCTTTATAACCATCCCCCAAATGTTTCCTTCTCTTGTCTGGGGAAAAAGGCAGTGAAATTTTGTTGTCATTAATCCATCTCTGAGGGATCGTGGAGGACATTGTCCCACATGTTATTTCATCTTATCATTCATTTGTACCTGGGGTAGATCAGAGCATTCTGTAAAATTTTTGGGTTTCATGGGTGTACTTGTGTGTCTAAACTGAAGCAGACAACAATCTTCGCAAGGCCCAGAAAGGTAACCTGCTCTGAGAGAGGATTTTTGAAACAGTGGCTTCCAAAGGGTTCTGCTTTTGAGAAATTGCCAGTAAGAGGCCTGGTACTACGGAACTTCTTTGATTATTGCTGTTTTTAGTAGATCCAAAGGTACTGCCCAAAACTTGGGTGACCTTTTACTGTTTGGACTGAATATTAATTGTAGGAGAGAAAGAAAGCTCCGAAGGAGTTGAGGACTTGATTTTTTTCAAGTTCTCAGATACAAGTTTACAACAGAACAATGGTAGGGTGAGGAGACTTTAGTAGAGGAATTTCCATCTCCAAGAGTGTACAAAGGAAACCTTTGTGCCATCAGGCTTTTTAGATACCATAGCTGTAAACAACAGTACGCTAAATCAATGCAGTGTATTTATTTTATGAGATAAGCAGCTGTATAGTATAATGCAGTGATGCCTGTGAGAATATTTTGTTAAAATGATGATATCCTTGATGTATTCATCAAGGAAAAAATTAATTAAAAAAAATTTTTTTTTAGAAAAACTGGGAATTGGAAGCAATGTGACATTTGCAGAAGAAACGAGGAAGAAAACTATATGAGCAAAGCAGTTAACTAGTGATGTCTCTGTGCTCCCAAGTACTGACTATATCTGATGTTCTGCAAGAAAATTGGGTCAAAGTGACTTTCCAGTGCTTACTACTTCATGAATTCTCAGTCTCACATCTTGCATCAGATTCACATTCTCAGCACATCTCCTCACCTCTGACAGAACATCTCCTTGAAAATCTTCTCACATGCAGTATCTAATTTAATTTGGCACAAAGGTGCATGTAAGGAATATCTTCTGATTACCTCTGTACCAATGTTAGAAACCTGCATGATCGGCAAGAGGATGTTGGGATGCTCAAATACACGGGGAAATATGATATGGTTGATATTTCCATAATTTAGTAGAATTTGGATCATCTGACAGGAATAGGCTATCATAAATTGTTCCATAGGAAAAGGAGGACAAAGAGAGAAATGCTGGTAGTTCTTTACTTGCTTCCTACAAGGGGCACAAGCAACACTCCAAGTCCTGGCATTGTGAGAAATTAAAGTTCTTGTAGAACTAGAGGTGGAGATATTGCAGTGCTGTCTGTGAACTCACACTTGGAAACCAGGACAAGCCATTTCTTCAGGTCTTCCTGTAATACATGAATGGGAAGATGATGACAAAGTATGATCAGGGAGAGTGTTCACAAGGCTGACTCGATGTTTTCTAGCTATTTGCTGCCCCTGAGAGCAAGTTGCCTCATATTTTCCAAGGGGCAAGAACAGTTGTTAATACAGAAACTAACATGTGACCTTGTCCTGTGATAACTCATTCATGTTCCCATATCCAGTGTGTAAGTATTTGTGATAATGTCTTACTGGCAAGTGCTGGAAGTTGAAATTAGAGTACACCAACCTTGACGTAAGGTGAAGTTTCATAGCTGTAAGTGCAATTTAAATATCAGAATGAGTGACCTGGAAAAGCGAAAGCTGAGAAACTCATGTTTATTTGTTTGTTTTCACATGCAGCTTAGTTATTGTTCAAAAAAGCATAACTTTACTTCAGCTGAAGGAATATACTGCAAGTGTTGTATGAGAGAGTGCATGCACTGCTAGTCAAGCTCAAATATTGCAGAAACCCTTTCTGGCCTGAAAATCTGTGTCTTTCTGAATTGATAGTGCCTCCCTCTTTCTTCCCAATTGCTAGGGAAAGTAATAAGGCCCATTGATGGTACATTTATAAAGTACAAAAGCAGTAACAGTAGGATAGTTTTATTTCTCAGAGCGGCGGGAGGTTTCCTACACAAGGAGTCTTCTCCTCCTTCCCATCAAACATAGCTTG